GAAACGAGGAGATTGGAGACTGCATATGAGAATCAAGGCTTTGAACTGATCATCTGTTAAGGACCTGAGTCGAAATCTCTCACATTCTCGGTTGACTGTGCCAACGTGAGTAAGAAAATCATCATTTTCATTCATTGCCAGCTTGAGGCAACGATAACGTATACTGAATAATGAGGAGTGGTCTCCGAAATGTTCACGCAGCAACTTTATTGTATCATCGAAACAATTGTCACGTGGTTTCTGTGGTAAAATTAGGTTGCAGTACCGTTCATATTCTGCCGGACCCAATTTACGTAGCAAAACTCGCACCTTCCAGGCATCGTCTTGTGAGGCGAGATCAACAGTGAATAAATCCTCATAACGTTGATACCATGTGTCAAAAGTGACATTAGCCTCTGGGTCATAATTGAACTGTGAAATGCTGTTCACAATTCCGTCGACAGATGGTAGCATGGTATGATTGGGATTGCTTGAAGGTGAAGCTGGACCAGTCTGTTGGTTGACGAACATTTCCATTAATTTCAATTGTTGTTCAAACAATAATTCCAATTTAGAATAATCCATAGTAAATTGTTATGTTGCTGCTGCTGAGTGGTTAATAGTAGTTTTTCCCCGTCGCCAAATTGTTATGTACTGGTCGAGAAACTAATAGTCCTGACGCGAGAAGGCGGAAATCAGAAGACCACTAGGTTTGCGATGATACTTCTATTGTCCAAACACAAGGAGACGAAAATAAATGGTCTCACACCAAAGTGGTAAGTAAGTAAAGTAGTTGTAAAGTAAAGTAGTTCACACAAATTGTGAATGCGAATATATATAAATAATTCAGACAAGCGTGGGAAAAATCATTAGACAGTCTTAACATGAATGGCTAATTATAATGGAGTGTCGATCCAATTATACATAGCGAATATAGCAGACATGCCAACAAACATATATGGATATATGTCACCAAGCAACGGACTGTCAACAAACACTCATATTATATATAATATAATATAAGGAGAATACACATTATTAAAGGAGACAAGTTCATACAAGTGAAGTGGTCACAGACTAACCGAGCAAACAGAAAGAGAGACCAACATGCACACACACACATAAATATATATATGTGGATACATATCATCCTTATCCCCTCTGTCTTCTCTATGCCCACTTGAATTCCTGTCTACTCTGTCTGCTTACTCTTCCATCTTGTTGATTTTCACCTGAAGATCTTCAAGCTTTGTATAACACTGGACATAAATCAATCATCTGTGATGTCCAGATCGGTTCAACGTGTGCCTCCTGTCTTCTCTCACAGAACTGTTTGTTGCATGATCCACCAGTCCATCAAAATGAAGAACATCATCGCCAGTGATAGTAGGTCGATTTGTTTTACTCCTGTTTTCACTTTTTAAAGGCTTTGCTGAATTTTTCCTTGTGAAGAAGCATTCTGCATTTTTGCATGAGGTTGATAAGAGTCTGTCTGTCTGTCTGTTTTCAACATAGAACTTTGCACATATGTGCGGAAGTTCAAGTCGCCACACTCCCTCCTTGTAGCACACAAAGCAAGAGAAGAAAGTACAAGAAAAGCATAATAGAGAGACAGTAAACAGAGATGTGACAAAAAGGAAGAGTAATAGCGAAGAACAACATAGTTTCATTGGAAATCATAAATCACAAGGAGTGGATGCATCTCCGCTGGCCATTGAGAACGATTTTGAGCCATACCACCGATTGTTTCCAGCCATTGGTTTTTACCGTCCCGAGGATCCCAACCAGGAAGCCAGTCTACACCTTCCTACGTGGCTTAGACCAACTGTTGTGGATTTCATTGACTGGTGCCAAGTTTTGGTTTGACCGCCGCTAGCTTTTTTCCAGCCTGACCCTACATCCGCTAACAACATTGCTCGTCGAGGGAGGCGATGACTTGGCATACGTAACACATGTCCTAACCATTTCAGTCTTTGTAACTTCACGATAAGAGTTTGGGGCACTCACCAGTGTTAAAGCCGTTATCAAATTACACTTCACAGTCAGCGATATCGTAGAGCTCTTTAGTGTCCATATTGCAGTTGAGCTGTCTACCATTTTAGTCTAAGGTCTAAATAAGTAAATTGAGATTCGAACCCGGAAGATACCAAATGAATGAAAAGTAATAAATACATACCTGCACATAGTATATGCAAACACTAGTTAACCTAATAAACCCTTAAACAAAACCGATTAAAAATAAGTGTGGAGACATAGTTGATTAGACAGTTTAAGTACGCTACTTTCGACCTATAAGGTGTCAAAGGGGTTTGAATACCCAGCTCCATATACTTCACAACCCAGAAGGAATTTGGCAGTACATCATCAGCATTGACATATAAGACTTACGGATGGGTGTATGAAAAAGATCTCTTCTGGATAATTCATGATCTATCAAGCAAATTATATGAAATAACGCTAAATAAAAAGAGTATCTCGTGTACTATAGGTGATGAAAAAGGAATATTGGTATATATATCAAACATTTTTTTTATTTCTTTACGTCCTCAGTGGAACATAGGGTGGCTTCAAGCTAGAGGCTTAAAGTTTCGTTAGCAACAGCATTTATTTTTACGGGATGTGGTTGCTAGCCTTATGTTCAACCTTCCCTCTTTACCGGTTTAGTGAGGTAAAGGAGTGCCTCGTCGGTGAGGGATCGAACTTCGAACCACCTGGGTGATTGGTGAGCATTCTACCACTGTGCCACCGACGCCCAAACAACCTACTGCTCAATATATATGCAGAAAGAAATGGAGATGGACACGACACACACACATACACACCAAGGGAATCATCGTCGAGTGAAATTGCATACCAGGGCATCGAGTGGAATCTAAATTGTAAGCGAGTCGAGCATGCGTCCCCGGGTGACATGACGGGAATTGTGTAATGAGGAGATGAGAAGAGCCTATTGACAATCGTACAGCCAGCCACATAGAACTGTGAAGAAAAGGATGATATGGTGATGTGGTGTTGAAGCCGTGTGAACCACTAAAAACTCAAGAGAAGAGTCACAACAAATTGACGATACAACATGCAGTCCCACAAGTGGTTTCCATAACTACTGCTAACGATCATGAAAAGAATATCGACCTCTAAGAACATTTCATCTGTCTGTCTGTTTTCGACATAGAACTTCGTACCAATGTGCAGCAGTTCGAGTCGCCACACTCCATGTAGCACATAAAGCAAGAGAAGAAAGTAGAAGAAATACATAATAGAGACAGTAGACAGGGATATGAGACAAAGGGAATAGCAATAACGAAGAACAATATAGTTTCATTGGAAATTATAAATAAAAGGAGTGGATGCATCTGTTCCATTGGCAATGATTTTGAGCCATATCACCGATTGTTTCCAGCCATTGGTTTCTACCGTCCTGAGGATTCCAACCAGTCAGGAAGTCTGCACCACCTAGTCTACAGCTACCTACGTGGCTGGCTTAAACTAACTATTGTGGATTTCATTGACTGATGACGCCATGTTTTGGTTCCGACCGCCGCCAGCTCTTTTCCAGCCTGATCCATGATTCTATGTCAGCCAACATTGCCTGTCGAGGACGGTGATCGCTAGGTTGGCATACGGAACACATCTTCTAACCATCTCAGTCGATGTAGCTTCACAACCTCGTCGATTGATTTTCCCTCATTCCTTACCTAGAACTCGACCAATGCCTAACTTTAATATTGCTCACCTTATAATGCCACTTCACACAGGAGATAGAACGCACACACCTATGATCAAAGACAGCTAATCTTTTCATGTCTTCCACTCTCAATGGCCAGGTCTCACTCACAGCCATAAAGTAGGAAGGCGCGAACTGATGAGCAAATATTCAATTATATTCAATCAAATATTCATCAACCTCATTCAACAGATGTACGACAACGGAACATGTCAAGTGATCCACAACGGAAAACTCAGTGAGGCGTTTGGAGTAAACACAGGAGTCAGATGACAAAGGTGCTTGTTTATTATCCCCAATGAATGATATTCCTAATTGTGATGGACTGGACTGACTGGATTATGCGTCAGACAGTGGGTGGGAAACGAGAAGACAGAGATATCCTGGACAGACAGACGTGAAGAACCTAGAAGACCTGGATTTCGCACGTGGATGATTCATGTTTGATGTCACACAAAATCGAAGACTTACAAGCGAAAACCGACTGGCAAACTGGTGGAAGAAGCAGTCGGCGAAGACAGGACTCCAGGTGAACAAGATGGAGGTTATGAAAATAACCAACCAACCAACCAACAACAACAACGGCACCAACATCCAGAGCCAATCACCATCAAAGGGAGGGACCTCAAAGAGGTTACTTCATTCACTTCACTTATCTAGCATTAAGCATTGTCTCAAATACAGGAAGTCGGAACGGACTAGGATGTCAAATCGAGCGAGAATCACCGGGAAGGCGAAAAACACATTCATTCATCAACCTGAAACCAATCTAATCTGGAAATCTTCGTCACTCAACCAGCATCAACAACAAAATTCGGTCGGATTTTCAATACAAACAACGCCAAGTCAGTCAGTTTTTTTTTCTATACGGATCAGAAACTTGGCAGGCGGGTCACGAAGAATATTTCCAACAGCCTGTGGAATGCAGACCTTCATCAACCAAAAATTGTCTTCAGTGGATCTATACTGAAGATCAGATGGCTGGGTCAGAAAGAATCACCAACAAGAAACTCTGGCTAGAAACAAACAAAACCAAACCAATCGCCAACCAACAAATATGCAGGAGAAAGTGGAGATGGATTGAACACTCACTCGCTGAGGAGGCCGCCGCTTGGTGACATCGCGCGTGCGTCAGGCCATTTCTCGAGTGGAACCAGGCCGAAAGGGAAGCACGCGGCGAGTGGGACGTCAGTGCAAGGGTGACATGGAGGAGATCGTGTGAAGAGAGAGGAGTTGAAAGAGTATGGACTAACATGGATGGATGCAGGTGAAAAGTACAACAGAAGGAAGACAGAAGTGGCAAGTGGAGACGTGCAGTCGAAGCCCTATGTTCCACTAGGAACCCAATAATAAATAATAATAATAAATATCAAGCATACAAACTGACATTATGATTCTTCAAACAAAAGAGAATAAAGGAGAGAAAAATCAATTTCATTGTTTTTATTTTTATTTTTTTCACATCGTTTTTCCAACATAACACAACACTAGCTGAATTAATTACATATATACACACAAGGATTCACAATCACTACTACGATTACGTGATATGCACAGAAATCGATTCTACTGCACATAATAGAGAGGAGGGTAGAAGTGCGAAAACTGTCTATGCAGTACTAACTGTACAGCTAACAGAAATACAGTGTATGTATGTATGTATGTAACTAGATACTATCACAGTATGACGTAACGTGATGAAAAGGAGATCAAGCTACTATACATCCACACACACACACACACGCAGACACAAAAACAGATTTAAATGCCTGCAATACTTCGACAATCATTTACAGAATTATCATCATCACGATGATGATGGCGATGGCTATGAGGGTCAGCTGCACTAGCTGTTGTTGTTGTTGCTGTCGTCGGTGTTGAATAGGCTAAATCCAGCAACTGAGGTATCAACTTCTTCTGTATAGTTGATTTGTCAACACTGTCCAAATGCAGAGAATGAAATAGACCAGAGGACTTAGCATTCTGAATTGTTTGATGTAAATTTTTTCTATACAATGGATCATAATGATGTCGAATTAATCCGCTAACAAGACCAGTGTAATCACCACAATTGAACATTTTAATCCATTGATTAATTAACTTTTTCGGTTGATATTTTTCTAACCTTTGTGATATAAAAAAAAAAATAAGGGAGAAAAATAAAGAAACATGAGAAATCAGTGAATACTAAAGTTTAAAAGATCAATTTACCCTGGGAGAGATTTTTCATGTACAAGGATATATATATGTATTAAATATTATCCCGGCATACAAGAAGATAGAAGTCTTCCTGTGAGGGATTAGCTTAATTAATATGGCACTAAAATTTCTAGACTCAGTAGTAATGCGTAGATTTGGGGGCGGTTAGGAAAAAAAAACACACGAGAAAGCCAGATAGGCTTTAGACAAGGTGAAGAGGATGCATTGATAATATCTTCAAGTTTTCAACAGATTCTAGAATACTCGCATACTTATTTTCTGGCGCCCAACAATTGATATATTTCTTGATGTGAAGGCGGAATTCGACTCCGAGGACCGAGAGTTACCATAGCAAGGAAATGTCGAGAAAGTATGTTGGAAATTTGTCATCTGCAGTGATAACAACCAGTGGTATCCGTCAGAAATGCTCAGTCCTCATTTCTGTTTAATTTCACCATAGATGTACTGATGGGATTGATCCTAACCGACTTCAGAGACTCAGAAATTGACTTGTTATCAGAGTATAATCTTGTCTACTTAGAATATACGGATGATATAGTCGTGCTAGGTAAAGATGCTGACAAATTGCGGAATTTTTTGTGTAAGGTTCCATGTTGAAACTAGTCAGTCATGCAAATGGAAGTGGACAGAGTGAGATTCAAACCCAGTGTGGTGAGAGCAGGCTGCTAGCCGATTGGTTGGCACTAATCTACGTTAAGGTCTAGGTCACTAATGTGGGCCGTGAGAAGATATGAACAAGGCTGAGTCAACAACCAATCACAGCAAAGTTAACGTGGCAAAATATGATTCGCAGATAGAGAACTCTATTGTCAAGGAATCCCGAAACAACCAATCAGAAGCCTGCGTTTGTCTACCTAAACAACCAATCAGATGACTGCGCTTGTCTATAATAATGTATGTGAAATATGTATAAATACGTGTTGATTTTCATAATAAAACGATCTGTTGCCTGGCCCTTGTCTTCTGTCGTTACACCAGGATTCATCGATTGAAAATTGAGAGATGCTGAAGCGGACAATGAGCCATTTATTTACGGTGAATACTAGGAGTTATAAGCATGCATTCCAACAACTAGAAGAGGGTGAACTATGCAATGACAGAGACAAGTACATCATCAAAGCATGGGTTCTGAAGAAATATCACTACAATCGACAGCTAAAAGGTCTTATCAATATTTTTGTACAGACTCAACTATAAATGAAAGAACAGGATAAAGTCAATTACATGACATAATCTGATTTCTATATTAACAATTGATCTCACGTCTTTTGAGACGCCTCGTAGGGGTTATCACAAAAAATGCGAGATGCTACAATAGATGCTTTCATAGATCGATGAGATTTTTCTGGAACTCTTATCATAAGGGGTTTCGGAATGATATCGTTTTTTAAACACCGTAAATTAAATATACGGTGATTATACCAATTTGAATGAAATTTTGATAATTTAATGCGATTTTTAATAAGATTATAGGTTTCCAGACCGTAGGTGTTACAAACTTCCTGGAATAATTTGAGCGCCGAGTTCCAGAAGATTCTCATCGATCTATGAAAGCATCTATTGTAGCATCTCGCGTGTTCCTGCGAAAACGGATACACAAATGTAAATTTGTAATGCAACATTATCACTATCGAATTATTAATATTGATGACTGTCTGAATATTCTTTTTTCCAAAGATCATCTAACTAGAATTACCAAATTATTCGGAAAACGGAAGTCCGCCCATTTCAATGCTACGAAGCAAAGACAAATTCGAAAATTTGAAAAGCTTATAAATCCGAAAGCAGCATACTCTAGAGCAAATAAGTCAAATGTACAGACAACTACAAGAACCGTATGCAACTTATCAGATAGAGAACTTAATGTACATGAAACAGCATTACTTGAACAAGGACTAAACTTTAACATAACTCGAAAACCACTGACAGCGATAGAATTAGCTCCCATCATGGAACCTATATTAGCTCTTTTACCTGATGATGAAGCTAATGAATTACGTCAGAAGGTTGAATGTATCCTATCTAATCAAAAGCAGGGCACCTCGAATTTATCGAAGAACGAACGTCATGCATTACAAACATTAAGATCAGATAAATCTATTGTTATAGCTAAAGCTGACAAAGGCAATATCACAGTAATTCTTAATAAAGACGACTACGACAAGAAAGCTTTGGAACATATCGAAACAGGGCCATACACATTAGTACCAGTAAACAAAATGTCTAGTACTATGAACAAAGTAAAAGCCCAAGTATGCAATATACTTAGAGAATTGAAAACAAAACTAGGGAATTCAGTTTGGTTCTCAATAGCTCCCAAGACAAACACGGCCGCGAGATTTTATGGAAGGCCGAAATTACATAAAATAAATGTTCCTTTAAGACCAATAATCGATTTTACCAGTTCAGTGGCATATACTTTATGAAAATACATATAACGAATGCTGAAACCATTTCAATACAATATTCCTTCGAACATCAAAAATATTGATGAATTTAAAAGGAAAGTAATGCACATAATTATTGAAGAAGACGAAATTATGACAAGTTTTGATGTGGTTTCTTTATTTACTAGTATTCCTATTTGTGATTCACTAGATATTATGAAATATGAACTTGAAAACAATCAAGATGTATTAACGAAATCTTTATTATCAATAGATGAAGTTATAAAATGCTTAAAACTTTGTTTGGAATCTACATATTTTACCTTTAAAGACAAACTATACTGTCAAACAAATGGAGTTGCAATAGGTTCACCAGCATCTCCACTTGTAGCAAACCTATATATGAAAACCCTAGAAAAGAAACCATTGGCAAGTCTTATCTGTCATCCTAGAATATGGTACAGATACGTAGATGACACATTTATTGTCATAAAGAAAGCTGAAAAAGAAAACTTTCTAACAGAAATTAACTTAATCTCAGAATATACTGAGTTTGCTAATGAAATAGAATCGGCTGAGGGAACTCTAAACTTTCTTGATTGTCTTGTAAAAAGACAAACTGACGAGAAACTTAAGTTTACCATATGCAGAAAACCGACACATTCCAATAAGTATTTGGATTTCCAATCAGATCATCCAATAGGAATGAAAGTTTCAGTAGCTTTAAATCTCTTTAACAGAGCTACAAACATTATAACAGATAATGACGATATGGAGAACGAGATAACCAATATAAAACAGATTTTGATTGGAAATGGTTATCCTGAAAAGCTACGAGATAATATCATCAATGGAAAGGAGCATAAAGGAAAACAAAAAGTTGAAAAATCCTGGCTATCGACGATAACCATTCCATATCGAAAAGACACAACTGAACAACTTCAAAGACTATTTGCTTCTTATAATATTAAAATCTATGTCAAACCTTCTAATTCTCTAGAGAAAGCGCTGGTGCATGTCAAAGATATAGTTCCCAAAATGTCACAAAGTAATTGTGTCTACAAGATAGTGTTCAGATTGTGATGCATGCTATATAGGGGAGAGCAGTAGACAGGTGAAGGTCAGAGTGAATGAACATAGACTTTGCACGAAACGTCCACCTAGAAATGAAGTAGAATTAAAAAGTCTAGAAAAAAGATCGGTCATAGCAATGCATGCGATAGACAGCGGACATAAGATTGATTTCAACAATGTCGAAATTCTTGGAAGAGGATTTCATCCACATAAAGAAAGATTGACTTCGGAAGCCTTGCACACTTTAACCACATCAAATGCAGTGAATAGGAAAGAAGGTATAGACTTATCACCTATGTGGCAAACTCTTATGAAGCAAGACAAATGAAAAAAACAACAGACACTCTATGAGTCGCCATGACCTTTAAAACATGTAGTGACACGTTTATCACATGAATTCACGTATTTTCCATATGACAAATAACATACATACATACATACACATACACGCATACAAATCTAATCTTTTCAAATCAACTACAGAAGAGTAAACACAACAACAATTTGACATTAGTCATTACAAATATATGTGAGGACTTTTGTAAAAAATTATATTTGTAAAATCTCAGCGATATTGAAATGAGTAATTCCAACGTTTCGTTCGGAAATCTGGTCCGAACTTCTTCAGGGAAATTAATCCAAATTAACATAACAGGTTTATATATAAAAGGAACATCTTTAGTTTTTAAAAACTTTGTCCAATCATGATTTATAAAACAAATATTAACAAGTATAATAAACAAAATTGTACGAGTTGTGATCAAAATTTGACCTCAGACATACAAATATTGATCTACCTTTGTTGAACACTTTAAAGACAGTGTGTATGTGTGTGTGTGCGGTAAAACAGTTGTAAAACAATGTCTTAACATCTCCATAAGTTGATATAGACAGTCGGGAAACTTTGACCAAGTATTATTAATTAGTGATACATATCCATTCTTATTTATTAATCAGGATTTCCTATGCGTCATCTAACATTACACCTTCATGTCTGTTCAAACTGTTAGTACCTAGAATTTTATGATTATACCTATTTTCAAAATTATGGTGTTTAGGATTAGAGTTTAGTTGAACAACCCCGTCAAACTTATTACTTTGTCTTCTTTCTGAAGATTGAGCTGCTTTATTCGACCTACTGAAGTTGTCAGGTGACTGGACAGCGTTGGAATTTCTCATTTCAATATCGCTGAGATTTTACAAATATAATTTTTTACAAATGTCTACTTCTCACTCTGCGGCCAAATATTATAGAACTATTCTGTCAATTCTTGACTATAGTTCATTTGATATACGTGAGGACTGCTTACATACTTCTATTGGTAAAAAAAAAGTCCATGGACAAATGACCTTCAAATAAACTGACTTCATATTATGTAAAAAATTTTGACTGTATATTTTGATGATTAATTATAATCCGAAAAAATCTGCTGAAGAAGCTGTGGTGGCTTACACGGCGAAACGTTCAGAAAAATCTTGTTTTGATTTTCATAACACACTGGGATTAATTTAAATAATTTATAATGAATCAATCTGACTCGGCGCTCAAATTATTCCAGGGAGTTCGTGACACCTACGATCTGGAAACGTATAATGTCATCACAAATGGTTGGGAAAAAAAACAAGAATTAAAGATGAATTCCTAAAATCCTTGACATGCGCTATTTATGTATGTTGTATGAATGACTAACTGGTTTCAACGTAGAACTTTGCACAGATGTGCAGCAGTTCAAGTTGCTACACTCCCTCAATGCAGCATACAAACCAAGAGAAGAGAGCACAGAGAGATTGAAAAGAAAGAATACAAACAGAATTGTGAGGCAAAAATAATGATAATCTGGAAGAACAGTAAAATTTTATTGGATATTATAAATCACAAGAAGCGCCAATGAGAACGATTTTGAGCCATATCACCGATTGTCTCTGGCTATTGGTTCTTACCATCCCGAGGACCCCAACCAGAAAGTCTACACTTCCGTAAGCAACATGTGCTCTTGATTCCCATAGAATATTAAATCATCAAGGTTGGGAAATGTAATAAAAAATCTACTATGATGATACTCTTAGGCAATATATTGTAGGCTTCAATGAGTAATGACAAGAGAAAGTTAGAACTACGGTGTGTGCTATTCACAAATAGATGTAAGTAGTGCAGACAGCAACACCTTGTACTTAACAGGCAGAGGATATCCTGTAGAAGAAACATGAAAAGACGATTGTGATTCTGAAGAGAACTTAAATAGGCTGCAGACAGTGGGCAACAAAACGCAAAATGACTGATATTATTTACAAGTAGCAGAATTAATACAAGGGCTTACCATTTCGTTATTATTCAATGGAAGTCGCAGATATGATGGTATATAATACTCATTGATATGAGTATCTCGAAATCACCCATATCTACCACTGATTCGATCCCTCTGGACTGAGTCATCTCGGATATACCACTAAGGAAATCATCCCCAAACGAGTGAAGTGGTCGTCCAGTGTTTAGATTTCCAATACTGTTTGATGTGAACGATTTCCAACTATCTACATTGTTCAGCAGCGTATGTCGTTTGCTTTCTTCATTACCTACCAACTTATGGTATGAAGAAGATCAAATAGTGTAATCTAAAGATCTTTGGTTTCTATAAAGAACCATTAAGCATACGAGAGCAAATGATTCTACCTGGCTGGAACAAACCTCGGCAGATGAAAAATGCTCCGAGACTGTGACTAAGCCTAAACCAGTGTACCATAGCTCCAATCCAGTGTGAGTAACTCGTTAGTATCTGCGTCCCTCTGCATAGTAAGTTGGTACACGAAAAATCGCTTCCACGTAACTGAGTTTTAAGCAACAAACTGTCATATAAAAATCTCTAGACATATAAAAAATCAATAACAGGATTGATCACGAGCTGATATCAGTTGAAAGAACCATTGAGAACATTGGAGTGTTGGACAGCTGCTTTTTCTTCGGCAGTGCGCACCCACCGGGGGGGGGGTTCCGAACCCAGAACCTTCAGGTTACGAGGCGAGCTTATAGGACATTCACCCAGTGGAACCCGATCCAATGAATTCCATGTTGCTGCAGGTAGGGTGTGAGGAAAAATACTTGCCGAAGGCATTGGCTAGGGGTCGCGCTATGTCATGAATTAGTAGAAGTTAGAATTCATGGGCTAGTCATTGGATCGGGTCCCAGTAGCTTAATGGTATACGAGCTCGCCTTGTAACCAGTAGGTTCGAAACCCGGTGGGTGCGTACTGATGAAGAGTCCCAAGCTAGGACGGAGGAAACAGCTGACCAGTACTCCCAGGTTTTTCAATGGTTCTCTAACCAATGTCAGCTCATGATGAAATCCTGTAAATTCCAATTTTTGCCAGTCGTGGCACATATTTAGCGCAACCACCAATCACTGTCACAGGCCAGTATTTGTCCTTTTGTCCAGTGTTCCCATGTTTTCCAATGGTTCCCTTTAAATGACATGTCAACTCGTGATAAATTCTATAACCAATCAAATCCCTGCAAACCAACACTTGATAGCGTTATTAGAAGACGGAGATTATCTGAAAAATGGTATGTGATGTATTTGCGCTACACATTTCGAATAATCTGATCACACATTTACTTGTCAAGTCAATATACATGGAAAAGTTAAATTAAACAAAGTGATAAAAAAAGAATTAAGAATAATTAACACAAACCTTTGGTAATGCAATCAAATAAGGATTACCAAAGTAGGTTAGGAGTAATAATAAACTGATTTTAAACACACAGGGAGGGAGGGGGCTTAAGTTTATGAATAGCTATAGCCTCAGCGTATTTCAACAAGCGCCCTTGACCGTTTTTTATAGATGAACTTAAAGGCTAAGTTAACAACCATACATTACACATGCATCAAAGGTAGGATATTTGCAAGCCATGCCACGAAACGCCTGAATTCAACATCCAGTCGACGCAAATCCAAAACCCACCACCAAACCTAGTAGTAAGCCCAGTAAAGAAGAGAAGAGAGACTGTGAGAATGGCAACAACACTCTGCTATTAGAACTTCAAAGCTTCAAGCACTACGCGCTCCACTCAGAAAGCTAAAGAATGAAAATATAAAAAATCAACGACAACAACTGTTATGTACTCGTCGAGTAGTTAATAGTCCTGACACGGAAAGAGGGAAATCAGAAGACCACAAGGTGTACGATGATACTTGTATTTTCCAGACAAGGAAAATAATTGTCACACTAGTGTGTGAGTGAAATGGTACGAATGTACGAAAATGTGTGTGAACAATAATACAGTACAAAAGTATGTATGGAAATGACTAGTACACATGAACCAATAGACAGTCATCTTACCATGATTGGTTGTAATGTCATGTGACAACAAGGTCATACATTGTTTATTTAGTTAATGGACAGACAAAAGCATAATGTCAGTTATAGTGGGATATCGATCCATATACACATAGCAAAATATAACAGACTGTCAAAAACAAAACACACATAATGTGGATACATATCAACAACAACAACAATAATAATAATAAAAAACTACCACTACTTACATTTTCAAAATATGTAATACTTGAGGAATATTTTGAATAACTGAAGCATAATTCTCTAAAATCCAAGCAATTCTCGCCTCCTCGCTTACATCAATCCATACACGATGTGTACCAACCTGTGGATCAGTTGATCGCATTCTTGTCCACAGACTATCCGGTAAATTACACAACGGTCCAATATGTCGTGATTCACACTCAATCCATAAAATATTCTTCGGCGATGTAAGTTTATGCTTAGTTATCATTAATGCTTGATGGAGGCGTGATTGAAATCTTTTTTGTGTAATAGAATGGATGGAAGCATTATTATTATTATTATTACTGTTATTATTATTGTCATCGTTGTTGCTGTCGTCTGTTACTTGAAGACTAGCCACTTCAAGACTTCCAAACATTGAACCTTTATGCATAGCGATTGCCTCTAAATCTAATACAATCTCACCACATTCATTTAATTCTTGAAGAATTAAAGACTTTCCGGAACCTGTTTTGATTAATGCGTAATACGTAATCAGTAAAACAAAGAATAAGCACTGAATATTGAACATGATAAACAAAAACACACAAAAAAAACTTAATACAGCTAGTTGACTTAGGGTAAATTTTCTTACTGAAAATAAATACCTAATTACCTATACTATTCTTATTTAGTAGTACTAAGAAGATGGTAATCTGGGGGCACAAACACGAGAGAGCCAGGCAGGCTTTAAACCAGGAAGAGGGTGTATTGATCATATCTTCACCTCCCCCCCCCGACAGATTCTAGAACATAGGCATTCCTACTGGCGTCCAACAGTCATTATATTTCTTGACCTAAAGGCGGCCATCATTCGACTCTGTCCACCGAATAGTTCTCTGGAGATGCTTGGCTGTATAGGGAATTCCGAGAAAATACATTGCACTGATTAAGGCACTCTACTCGTACTCATACAGCCAGGTGAGGGCTTACGGCGAGTTGTCATCTGAACAGGTGACGACTAGTGGTGTCCGTAAGGGATGCCCATTATCTCCATTTCTAATGAATTTCATCATAGATGTACTGATGGACTTAACCCTAACTCACTTCAGCGACTCAGGGACTGACTCGCTACTAGGGAATAATCTCGTTGACATAGAATATGCAGACGATGTAGTCCTTCTAGGCGAGGACGCTGACAAAATCCAGCAGAGTCTTCTAAACACCTTGAGCTGCAATCTACGAATGTTTGGCATGCGATTCGCTCCCGCCAAATGCAAGATGATGTTACAGGACTGGACTACATCGACGCCTAGTTTAAAAATAGGAAGTGAAGTGGTAGAGCACGCTTACCGTTTCACTTATTTGGGAAGTACCATCAGCCAGTGCCAACGAGTTGATCTCTGACGAAATCTCAGCATGGATACAGAGGGCTAGTTTCGCATATGCCAGTTTACGCCGTCTCTGGCGTAGACGAGATATCCGTCTGGCTATAGACCAAAGGGCAGGTGTACTGCTCATCAGTCCGATCCGTCCTCCTTTATGGATGTGAGACACGACCATTGAAAGTGGAGGACATGAAAAGTCTAGCTACCCGTCTTTGACCATGGGTGTCTGCGCTCTATCTCCCGTGTGAAATGGTATAATAGGGTGAGCAATATTGAGGTTAGGCATTAGTCGAGTTCTAGGTAAGGAGGGGAAATCAATCGACGAGGCTGTGAAATTACATCGACTGAGATGGTTACGATATGTGTTACAGGTGCCTAGCCATCCCACTGCCTTCCTCGACGAGAAATGTTACCTGATATAGGGTCAGGCTGCAAGAAAAGCTAGCGCCGATCGAACCAAAACATGGCTTCACCAGTCAATGAAATCTACAACAGTTAGTCTAAGCCACGTAGGAAGGTGTAGACTTCCTGACTGATTGGGGTCCTCGGGACGGTAAAAACCAATGGTTGGAAACAATTGGTGGTATGGCTCAAAATCGTTCTCAATGGCCAGCGGAGATGCATCCACTCCTTGTGACTTATGATTTCCAATGAAACTATATTGTTCTTCGTTATTGCTATTCCTTTGTCTCACACCTCTGTTTAATGTCTCTCTATTATGCATTTCTTGTACTTTCTACTCTTGCTTTGTGTGTTATATGGAGTGTGGCGACTTGAACTACCGCACATTTGTGCAACGTTCAATGTCGAAAACAGACAGACAAAAGAAAATCACGAAATATCATTCTCGAAAACTCTTTACCTACTGACGACGTGCAACACTCAGAAGCAACTTTAGTTACTTAATTCAATTTTAGATTTCCCCGTCGATTGATTCGATCGAAGTGCTCGGTCTCAGGCTGAGATGTCGGCTTCTTGTGCAGATGCTTCGACGATGTCTGGGCATGTAATTAAAAGTTAATTGGTGGATGGTGGTGATGACTAGTAGTGGAATCCAGGATGTGCATTTCGGCTGTCCTATTTGGGACTCGCCAGCTGGATGATCTTCCCATCACCAAGGCTCGAACCCAGTGGCCATAGTTTCAAACGTCAAAGGGTTATCCACTAGACCAGCTGAGGCATGAGAGCCAACTCATCCACCAATTAACTTCTAATTAATTACATGCCCAGACATCGTCGAAGCAAATACACAAGAAGCCGACCGACCAAATCGATCCAATCAATCGACGGGATAATCTAAAATTGAAAAATTAAATAGTTAATATGACCCGTTGCACAAGAGGTGACTCTCGTGGCCTAAGAGGTCTGTCTAGTGGATAACGCTTTGGAGTTTGAAACTATGGGCGATGGGTTCAAGCCTCAGTGGGAACATCATCACTGACTAACTCACAGGGGAATGCAGGTACATCAGACTGACGAGTCCCGAATAGGACAGCCGAAATGCACATCCTGGATTCCACTACTAGTCACCATTTATCAGTTAACTTCTAACTTAAGTTACTCTCCAACAATTTGTCTAGCTCTACAGAATGAGGTTTGCAGCACCAGACAGTATCCGTAGCTCTCATGCAAAGGAAGTTGCTTATCGCCAACTGCATCGAAATGCAAGTAGTTGTTATCATAATCATGATAACCGCCCAAAAAAAACAACTAAAAGCCATTTAAAAGACAAAATCTGTGCAAACCATTATATGCTTAACTAGGGTAAAGAATATTTCTGAAGTCCACCAGCGCGTGCTTTGACATTGCTGAAGATCGTCTTCCAATAAAATGATGTCATGCTATAACACCAGCCAGCCTCAGAGGCTTGGGCATGGTGCTGAAAATATTATCCCCACGGCTCCTACTATCTGCCAGTCTCAGAAGGAAGTGGGTGAGAAACAACCCCATAACGTGGCACCTTGGGATACAGGATAACTGTATTGTAGGGAGTGAGTTAGCATCTGTTATAGTGCATTAGGAATCCCTCCTAGGTGGGGTGCAATACATAACCAAGGTGTTACCAGTTACGGTTGCTGCTAGCCTCTCCTTCTGCATCTCTTCGTGCCAGATTTGTTGTATATCAAAATAAGTGAACAGAAATAATAATAAGGCAAGTTGAATGAAACTCAGTCAGTCATTCAACACAGTCACTAAATATTAACAACAACATAAATGAATCATTCTTTACAAATGGTACACAACAAACTAACCTGTTAGACCAGAAATTATCCAAAATGGATTAGGCATAGACCAACGTGGCCAAGCATCTAATTGGCGTAATAGAAGTCGACGCCATGAACGATATCCACCGACAAGAACATAAATATTACCCGGCCAACCAGTTTCAGATAATATTGTCGCTAGTGAAGCTGATCGTTGACCACCACGCCAACAATAAATCAAAAAATTTGGAAAAATAGTTCTCCGCCTTCCATTGATGATTTGATGGTGATGATGAATAGAGTTAGATGAAGTATTCAGATGTGATTCATACTCGTCAGCAAGTTGTTTTAAACACCGACTAATATTTGCACAAACTAAAGATGCACCATGCAGACGAGCACGAACAAGATCACCTGTATACATACATAATATATTATGTGTAAGTTGACAAATAAAAAACACATCGAATCAGTGATTTGATACAACAGTTTATAAAATCTCATAAAAATATACAATTGAAAGGCATTTTTCGCTCCAAAAATTAGTGCGATTTCAGGAATTTATGCAGTGTGCTCTAACTGGCTGAGTGTCAATAATAGGACTTTGTACAGAAGTGAAACATTTGGAGTTTTCAGGAGCAGGAATGTACGGGAGGAAGAGAAAGAATATTAACATGAAAACTAAATGCATAGGAAAGGTCCCAAACAGTGGATGTATCTGCACAACTGACAACCGTTTCTGAGTTATACCACCAATAGTCTCCAGTCATTGGTGTTAAACAACCCGAAGACCTGAACTAGAGAGCAGTCAACACTTCCCCCCTACACATAACTTGCTTAGATGAACTGTCAAAGACTTCATGAACTTTTGACGCCACCTCTTACTTTTTTCCAACTAATTCAATGTCATCATCAGCTGACATCAGTTAGAGAAACATTAGAAAACCTGGGAGTACTGGACAGCTGTTTCGTCCTACTTTGGGACTCTTCATCAGTATGCGCCTACACTGCGGGGTTCCAACTCAGGACCTTCAGGTTAGAGGGAGAGCTTGTAGACCATTGAGTCACTGGGACCCGATCCATTGGCGAGTCCATGAATTCTACCTTCTGTCAATTCACGACATAGCGAGACCATTTCACAATGTCTTCTTCGATGAGTTACTGCTTCGTCTTCAACCTGCTGTATTCTACTGGTCAAGGCTTCCCACTAAAACCCTAGGTCACCGCCTGAATAGGACTAGTCACTAGTGAGCATCAGATTAATTTTCAGGCACTGGTTTTGTAGAGATTTTGTTTGACTGAATGGAGGATTTCATCATGAGCTGATATCAGTTAAAGAAACACTGGAGAACCTGGGAGTACTGGACAGCTATTTCCTTCGTCCTAGTTTGGCACTGTCTTCAGCAGTATGCAGTGGCCAAATGGTCTACGAGCTAGCTCGCCTTGTAACCAGAAGGTCCTGGGTTCAAACCCCGCTGGGTGCATACTGTAGAAGAGTCCTGAACTAGGACGGAGGAGACAGCTGTCCAGTACTCCCAGCTGGCTTTCCAGTGGTTCGCTAACTGATGTCAGCTCATGATGAAATCCTCCATCTAATCAAACAAAATCTCTACAAAACCAATACTTGATAATTTAATGTCAGCTAACTTTGCTCGTCGAGGATGGTTGTGGCTCGACCCAGTCAATGATGCCTAAGACTTTGATTCAATTTCAGGATACTGTTTGTTGGAGAACTCAACATGTAGTGAGAGCTGGCTGCTAGTCAAAATTGGTAGACATTAATTTACGTCATTGTTACCTCCCGAATCGGGGTCATGAGAAATATAATAACAAAGCTTAGATATGATAGAGAAGATTTGTACCTTAGGTGGGTGATTTTGATGTGGTTGTGTTCTCTGAGCTGGCTGGCTGGTTAATTTGCGAGGCTTTCATCACTCTACTAGGTGACATCTTCAGCGAATACTTCGATTTATTGAAGTGAGCTTTTAGATTTCTCCACGAATTTATTAATCATCTCTCCTGGTGAGTGAACTTGGACGTGATTTGTTGTTTTTGTGTGTTTTCACACCTTCTAGGCAGCTACTTGTATTTGAACTGATTGTTTCTTTGACTTGAACTTTTACCCTCCGTGTGTGTGAGGTTTCTTTCTTATTGGTTGATCAATTTCGTCTATCTCGATGTGTCTATTGATTGATGATTCACTGGAATACCAGACTGGCTTGTAAAATCATTCTCTAGCATTCTTGATGTTTCCTCTGTCGAGTATTTGAACGCTGATTGTCCTAGTCGAATTGATGTACGTGGTTGTCTGTCTGTATACAGTGAGTGATATGAGCGAGGGAGTGGATATCATGTCTTTTGACGGCTAGCTTATGTTCGTGGATACGAAGACGAAGGGGACGTCCACTCTGGCCAATGTAGTGTTTTTCGCAGTTGTTACAATTTAGTTTGTAGATGATATTGGTTTTATCTTCTTTCGCTGTTGAGTCTTTCGGTTGACATAGAGCAAGCTGAGTGAGGTGATTTTGTTAGTTTGTGTACGACGTCAATTCCTAAGGGTTTGAAGAGTCTTGCATTGATTTAATGTGAGATATCCTTTATATATGGTAAGGCGATTTTCTTTGTGCTTTCCTTGGTGGCTTTTGCTTTGGTAGGTTGGCTTGGGGGTATATGTCTTTTGATGAAATTCCGTGGATATCCATTATTTTGGAAGACGTCCATGAGATACTTTTCTTCAATTTTCCTTAAGATGGGACTGCTGCAATGAGTCCTTGCTCTCTTGAATAGTGTTTGTATACAATTCCTTTTGTGTGATATCGGGTTGTTGCTGTTGTAATTCAGGATTTGGTCTGTGTAAGTTGATTTCCTATAAACTTGAGTTTCTAATTCCCCTGTGGTTGTCCGCTTGACTAAGACGTCCAAAAATGGTATTTTGTTCTCGGATTCCTCTTCTCTTGTGAATTTGATGTCGTTGAAGACGTTGTTTATCAAGTTGTGAGTTTTATCTAACTCGTGTCTTTTGATTATTACAAATGTGTCGTCGACGTAGCGTATCCAAATCTTGGGTTTGATCTTTGGTAAAATTATGTTTTCGAGTCTTTGCATCCATCCCGACTTGCCCTATGGTGGTCCATAACCGGCGGTAGGTTTACTAATTCGGCCTCAAGCAGTTGTCCCCTGAGCTCTGCAGTCGCACAACACTAATCCTCTTTGTGTTTCAGGTACCCGGAGAATCACTCAACTTCCACGGTGTGGGCGACTTGGAATTAACAACCGCCCACACACTTCCAAGAGCATACGAAGCCTCCCACCCGAGCATTATTCTCCATGTAACAACCAACTCTTTAGTCACCATTGTAGAAAGCACAATACTTCCCAGAAATCACACATCCGTGAGCCTAAACCACATAAACCAGTTGAACTACAAAATTACAAGCGGAAATCAAATAACAAGTAAATAAGTAACCTTAATGATATAAGTCACCTTGAGAATATAAACCACCAACAAACTCCCTTTCTTCATCATTTAACACTGGCACATTTATTGCACCGTGTATATGATCTTCAGCGAATTCTTTTGGACTGCGTACATCAACAATAATCGGTTGTAAATTAGGTCTAGTGAATAATTCAGACCATGAACAACACGCTGAAGGATTTGACTCTGGAGCTGGTGGGATAGTTGAATTCCAAGCTTCTTCTGTAGCATAAGATTCATGGATTAAAGATACTAATTGAAATGGCTTTTTTTGAAATTTACTCGAGGTGGTTGTACTACTACTAAGACATAATTGTAATAATGCATGATTAATTCTCGGTGGGTTCATAATTCGATAGCCATAATGTGATAATTTATATGAACACAATCGAATACAAGTAAATAATAGTGCCTAGTAAAAAAAAATGCAAATGATACATTGAAATAAGTGTACAAAAATCTTACAAGTATCAAAAATTTAAAAAAAAAACGACTCTTAGAACTAAATTAACTGAAGAATGAGTGGAAATTACAACTTACTATGTAACGACAGAAGACAAGGACAGATCGTTTATTTAGGAAATCAACACATATTTATAGATTTTCATGTACATTATTATAGATTATTGTAAGCAATCAAACACAGTCTTCTGATTGGTGGTTTCTCGCTGGACGTTAATCTTTCATCTCTTTGTGGTCGTTTATTGAAGTTCAGATTATCTATCTGCAAATTGTATCCGCCTACGCAAAGTCTGCTGTGATTGTTGTCTTGTCGAGTTAGTCTTTGTTCTTATTTTTGTTCTCATGACCAATATTGGGAACGTAAACATTGACGTAAATTACTGTCTATTAATTTTGGCTAGCAGCCAGCTCTCATCACAACTAGAGAGTTGCCTAATTCAAGATTCATAACCATCATATAATGGACAATGAATTATGCCTAATGTCGTACAAAGTCGAAGGCGTAAACCAATAAGTTGACAGGACAAGCAGCAAAGACAGGACTTCAAGTGAATATGGAGAAGACAAAGGCGATGAAGGTACCCAACCGACGGCGACAACAATAACAAGCACCAATCAGCATCAAAGGGGGAAACCTTCAACTTACATGATCAAGGGAGCATCGTCTCAACTACATGCACCACAGATGAGGATATCAAAGCCAAGATGGGAACAGATCATTGAGACTGGTATTAATTGAATTTTTGATTTTCCCGTCGATTGATTGGACCGAAGTGCTCGGTCTCAGGTTGACATGTCGGCTTCCTGTGCAGATGCTTCGACGATGTCTGGGAATTTAGTATTTAAATGATAGATGGTGACTAGCGATGGAATCCAGGATGTGCCATCTACCAATTAAATACTAAATTCCCAGACATCGTCCAAACATTTGCACAACAAGCCGACATATCAACCTGAGACCAAGCACTTCGATCAATCGACGGGAAAATCAAAAATCCATCTAAATTTGACCCATTGCACAAGAGGTGGCTCTCGTCGCCTAAGTGGTCTGGTGGATAACGCTTTGGCGTTTGAAACTATGGGTACTGGGTTCGAGCCTCAGTGGGAACATCATCACTCACTGAGAAATGTAGGTATGTCCGGATGACGAGTCCCAGATAGGACGAAACGCGCATCTTCGATTCCACTGCTAGTCATCATCCGCCAATTAAAGACTGGTGTTAGTTATTCTGAAAGCACGGTGAAGATCTCTATAGCACCCAGTGCGAGAAACAAGACCCTCATTTTTAACACTAATGTCAAATCAGTCAATGCTTCCATATGCTTAAGAGACTTGGAGAACGCGTCATCAAAAGCATTTCCCCTAGGCCACGGTAGACTTTTACCGACAACTGCCTTAGCTCCATATTCAAGATCAGATGACATGGTAGAAAGGCTAAGCTTCATGGAATTCTGGCAGACATCCAACTAGGAATCTGTTGGCCGGAAAATATGTATGTGGGTGAGATATATGCTAAGGAGGCGCCGTTGAGGATGATATCACTCGCCAGGCGTATCGTCAGATGGAACCTCAATGGGAAGCTAGGAGTCCGGCGTCAGAGGATGTAACATGCAGGAGGAATGGAGAGTTTGTGGGCAACAACAGAGCCAACTTCAAAAAGAAACAGGCGAGGACAGAGTGAGGACAGGTGATATCCTGCTGAAGCCCTATGTTCCACTCGGAACCCGAAGGAGTAATAAAATAATTACTAATTCAATCAGTGCCAACATGAATGACTAGAAACACAATATGCCACTGGTTACAATCTACTGACTAGTCAATGTGTAATTAGATGATTTAAACGCAAGCTCACATATTAAACAGACCTTTGATGCTCGTGATGTAAATTCAGTATACACACAACATTCGGACATAAAATCTTCTCAAGTTCACCTCTAGTAAACAGACACACAGGTGGAGTAATGCAAAATGTTCTATAAAATGTCATCAATTAAAGCTGACGCACTTCGAAAAATAAGACAAATATAGAAGTTAAATCACTATAAAATACCATCTCTGGCGTAGGCGTGACATCCGGTTATCAACCAAGGGACGTGTGTGCTGCTCATCAGTTCGCTCCGTCCTTCTCTATGGCTCTGAAACATGGCCAATACGCGTTGAAGACATGAAAAGGTTGACTGCTTTCGATCATAGATGTCTGCGATCTCTGTCTCACGTTAGGTGGTTTAATAAGGTAAGTAATGTTGACGTTTGGCGTAGAGTGTTGGGCAAAGAGGGAAAATCAATCGACGAGGCTATAAAGTTACACAGACTAAGATGGCTAGGTCACGTGCTGCGCATGCCTAACCACCGCCTCCCCCGACGGGCTTTGCTAGCTGATATAGGTGCAGGTTGGAAAAGAGCCAGTGGTGGCCAAATAAAAACATGGCCTCATCAATCCATGAAATCCTTGACAGTTAAACTGAGTCAGGTAGGGAGATGCAGACTCCAGGGTTGGGGCCCTCGGGACTCTAGGAATCAATCAATGGCTGGAGACAATAGGTGACATGGCTCAAAATCGTTGTCAATGGCCAGCTCAGATGTATTCAGTCTCTGTAATCTTTCATATTCCTTTCTACCATTACCCATTATTCTGTTTCACTCTTATACTTGTCAGACTGTATTGATTCTCTTCACTCATCTTCTTGTCTACCTCTGTGTGCTATTTGGAACGTGGCAACTGGAACTGCTGCGCTTGGGTTCCAAGTTCTATGTTGAATCCAGACAGACAGACAAAAAACAGTGGAGCTGCGACTCATGTGCTTGTTTAGGCGTTCAACTTCCAAACAGTGGGTCACGGGTTCAAACCCCACTCTACCCTTGCACGGAACTGTAAGTGGTGGCTGATGAGTTGGTCAAATGACTAAAAGATTAAACATTTGTCATAGACACTGTTGTTTAATGAAGACTATTGAAGATATTTAGAACCGGCTAGTTACCATAAAGAGTGGATACACCTTACTATTGTGAATAATAACTTACCAACACCATTATGGATAAGATTTTATTTTGATAAATCACACAGTGTTGTACAGTAATATTAACTGATGACAACGTCTCGAGCACAAACTATTGCCACTCATAATCATATCAAGTCACTCACTCACAACTTTTTCCTTCATTTATATACATGTGTGGAATCGATTAGATATTGGATTAAAATTCAGTGTGAGATAATGTACATTCAGAAATAATAATAATAATACGAGTGTTATTGATCAATTACAATCAGATGAGAAATAAGACGAGTGTTTTTTGTAGTCATAATAAGTTACTTGTTAGAATGTTGTGATGTGTTTGAATTGAATTAGAATTTTAAGGTTATTTATTATCTTCTTCTGATTTGACTTGAGGTAATATTATCTTCCATATTTCTGGTAATTGCATTGAGTCACTTCTGTTGCATGTGTTGGGTGTAGACTCGATGAATAAGGATTCCATAACCAACCTCTCTCTCCACCTACCTATATTACTTTTTAGAATTTTAACCCTATCCTACCCTATTGTGTGGTTGTGTGTTAATGCATGCATTGCATTTGCTGAGCTTTTTTCTAAATTATTTATCTATTCAGTGTCAACCATTCTTACCTTAGCTAAATTCTTATGTTCTGATAATCTAACTGCCCCGGACCTACTAGTTTGACCTATATAGTTGACCTAACTCACAGTCAATGCAGGGTATTTTGTAAATTATATTATTTTGTTTAATTGGGTCAACCGACAGGGTCCTTTAACCTACACAGCTTATCTCTGAGTGAGTTTATAGGTTTGAATGCCACCACCCTAATTCTTGCTTTATTAAGAATCCTACGTGAGGAGGGTCTCAGATGTCCCCTCCTTATATGGATGACTTATATTCTCACTTATTTATGTTATCATTACTGGTTCCACAATTGTATGATATGATATGATTATGGGTTGGCAGTAGTTTGTGCTCGAAACGTGGTCATCAGTTAATATTACTGTATAACAACACTGTGTGATTCATTAAAATAAAATCTTATCCATAATGGAGTTATGGTCTCAACTTACCAACAGTTCCCGTCTATTGATTATATAACCCCAGCTAGGTGACATGGTTCAAACCAGCAGTCAATAACTTCCTAAAATAGTGTGACATATTGCTATGACCACCCCACTCTAGCGAGTTGGGGTGGAATGCGAGACAACAGATGAATATTCATAAAACTAACACTTCACATCTAATATCAACACTAATTTACCATACTGTGTCACCAAAGGAAAGCATCACTGTGAATAAAACGTTTGGTTAAAACATGTATATATATATATCATATTTTCACATCTTATACTTTCAGATACAATGCATCATAGATGTAATGTAGGGTAAAGCAAATTGACGCGTACCATTTATTTCCTTTGACTGGTAGTTTAATATCGCATCTGTGTCCTTAAAATGACCAAAGTTGTCAAATCCCCTCAAGTGACTGGCTGACTGAGTGAATTTCAACATAGAATCCAGCACAGAATTGTAGCAATTCTAGTTGCCATACTCCTAGTTTTGTAATCTTTTGGAAGTGAATGCTACTTCCCGACTGCCTACACCGTGGAAGTTGATTTTTTGCTGGAATACCTGAAGCACACAGAGAACTCTAGTGTTACATGATCCCTGAGCCCAGTGGACAACAACAGCTTGAGGCCAGTTATACACAGCCCGTTTTAATTGGTCTTTAGAGTAGTACTCGTATCTTACTACCAGCCATGGACCACCGTAAAGTTAGTCGGGATGAACAATTTTCCGGGTCGTCCTTTCCAACCTCCCCCTCTCTCTCCAAAGACAAGACAGTACATCTGGCATGCTGGTCATCTGAGAGAAACGCCTAACTGATTTTATCTCCCTGTTCCCCAGCAGTACGACTTCTCCCAGACCACTGGCTTAGTATAAACCACTTTTACTATGACAGTAACTGCTTTTAGTCTAATGACTATCCTAACAACCGTTCTGGAATGGCATTACCTCTAAGGATATTGGTTCCAGCTAGTTAAGCTCGTTGTGTAATTGAGATATGCGAGCCCGACAGCCACATCCAGGTAGCAGCCACTGGTTGAACAAGTGGGCTTTAGATATCCCTGCTAAAATTGTCTCAGCAACCAATGCCACAGACAGGATGTGCAGCTTCGCGAATAAGTGTAGTCGTTACAACAATCCAGAAATTTATTTCCGATAGTTGATAAGCTAAAAACGCACATACAGTAGTCATATAGTATCACACTATATTAAAAATAAATACTCACCATTTTGAACTATGTCCTCTGGAGTAGTGTCCCAGTCAATCGCCTTTGACCCCCCCCACACACACCCCACAATAGTACAATTCAATTCCACAGAAGTAATAATCACACAATATCCAAAATAATTTCACTTCATATTAACGTTTGCACTGAAGATGCTGACTAGAAAGACAATGAAAGTTTCGCAATTTTATAAATCAACCACCGCAAAAAAAAACACAACCAGACCAAAAAATGTTCACAATACAAACTTAACAACATTAGTCACATTGAAAATTCCTTACAGACATCCAAAAAACAATACTGTATCGTTATGTGGGGTGGATTTGACTATGTGCGTCGGTGGCACAGTGGTTAGGACTCTCGCCGACCATGCACATGGTCCGGGGTTCGAGCCCTCGCCGACGCACACCTGATATCTTTGGTTGGCCTGCAAAATTTGGGCTACCGATATCCACGCTGAAAATTCCATACTTGTACCAAAAATGCAGTGTGGAATCAAGCTGTAATCAAAAATAAAAATAAAATAAATAAAAGCGGGAAATGAACCAGTATTACGGCAAAACAACATGGGAGATATGGAAAGAAAGCAATGAAACCCCAATACGAAGAGCAGAAGTAACACAACACCACGGAAGATCTGTGCAAATAATGATTTTACTATATGGTATGCATATGTGGTGAGAACAGGCTAGCCAAAAATCGTAGACAATAATTTACGTCAATGTGTATGTCGCAAATATTGACCGTGGGAAAATATGAACAAGACTGACTCAACAACCAATCACAGAAGACTTTGCGTAGGCAGGTGTAGCTAACACATAGATGACCTGACATTCAAGAAAGTCAAAAAAGATGCAACGTCAACTTTCTGTGAGAAACAATCAATCAGAAGAGTGTGTTTGTTTGCTTGAATAAGTTATAATAACGTACATGAAAATATATAAATACGTGTTGATTTCCTTAATAAACGATCCGTCCTCCTTTATGGCTGTGAGACACGACCACTGAAAGTGTAGCTACCTGTCTCTGATCATAGGTGCCTGTGCTCTATCTCCCGTGTGAATTGAAGTTAGGCATTGGTCGAGTGCTAGGTAAGGAGGGGAAATCAACCGACGCGGCTGTGAAGCTACATCGACTGAGATGGTTAGGACATGTGTTACGTATGCCTAGCCATCGCCTTCCTCGGCGGGCAATGTTGGCTGACAGAGAATGGATCAGGTTGGAAAAGAGCCAGTGGTGGTCAAACCAAAACATGGCGTCATCAGCCAATGAAATCCACAATAGTTAGTTTAAGCCAGCCACGTAGGTAGCTGTAGACTAGGTGGTGTAGACTTGCTGACTGGTTGGAGTCCTCACGACGGTAGAAACCAATGGCTGGAAACAATCGGTGATATGGCTCAAAATCATTGCCAATGGAACAGATGCATCCACTCCTTTTATTTATAATTTCCAATGAAACTATATTGTTCTTCGTTATTGCTATTCCCCTTGTCTCATATCCCTGTCTACTGTCTCTATCATGTATTTCTTCTACTTTCTTCTCTTGCTTCATGTGCTACATGGAGTGTGGCGACTCGAACTGCTGCACATCGGTACGAAGTTCTATGTCGAAAACAGACAGACAGACAATGATGTCCTTAAGCCAGGCGCACTAGATATATGACACTGGTCACCACCTTCAAGTATCCAACCAGTGTCTACTTAACAGTCCTACAGGCAATCACTCATGAGCGCAAATAGCTTCGTTTTTGATTGTAGGCTTCGGGGATCTCAGAATGGGCGCCATTTCCTTCACGGTTAACAAGTACGTCACTCTTGTCAAAGAGTTCCAGCAAGTACGAAATCTAGGTGTCCATAACCTTCATATTGACTGTTGCAAACCATCTAACGTGTGGGCAAGTCATCTTACCTAGATTGGTGACCCCATATTAAAAAAAACACGACGGGTAGAACTCAGACAGCACCAACACATGGACTAAACACCCTCCTCCCCATCATAGTCACCGATCAATATTTTTCTCTTGATTGCATCGTGCCCCAAACAACACAAGAATTTTTTAAAGTATCAAATATTAAAAATACGTGTAGTACATGGAATAACATCGGTGCGTCGGTGGCACAGCGGTTAGGACTCTCACCGACTATGCACATGGTCCGAGGTTCGATCCCCTGCCGACGTACACCTGATATCTATGGTCGGCCTGAAAAATTTGGGCTACCGATATCACATGATGAAAATTCCATACTTGTACCAAAAATACAGTGTGGAATCAAGCTGTAATCAAAAAGAAAAAACAAGGAATAACATTAATCAACATCATACACGGGAAAGAACATAACCAAACACTGAATAGTTGTCAAAAACCTGTTGCTTATTCATTGAGTTAGAAATTGTTGACAAAAAGAAAATAAGAAGAACTAATACAAGTATAATACAGATTTATTAGGGTTATACACAAAACAAAGGACATTATGGTTGCGTAATACAAATAACTCCTCAACAAGGGAAGAAAGACAGTGAAAACTACAATAACGATCTTATATATCCTGTAGACATATGTTCATCACTGCACTGACGTGAGCAGATCACCAATGAATGATACACTATTCAATCGATGTAAATTCAATCTGGTATCATTGACTGTTCATTATCACATCTCCAGCAGTATTAGATGTAGAATCCAATTGAAGTTGGAAAGAAAGTGTCCTAGGCGTGGTTACATCACTAACATGAATTAGTTGACCGTCTATAAGACCGAGATCTAGGCAGAGAAGGAGACAGAAAGAGCAGAAACAATCAATAATTGTGAGAGGGAAAACAAAAAAGAGTTAGGTAATTTATAATTAATTTCCAATTGTTGACTTGCAGGGCATTTGACTAATTTCAAGTTCAATCACAAGCCGACTGACTCTTCAATTAGAGAATTGTTTCGTCCTTGTTTGGGGCTCTTCGGCAGCACGAACCCATAAACTTACCAAGGGTCAAACCCTTCATCAATGTGCTTCATCGATAATTATCATAATAATAATAACGTAATACATGATGACTGAAGGTCAGGGAGGGGGATCGAAAGCTATGATTCGCGGTAGGACTCGAACTTAGTGGTCTTCAGGATTACTAACCCGTCACTCTACTAGCCGAGCTACGAGATGCATCTGTCAACCAGATAATCGCTCAAGTGGAATCATCATAGTTAATGCCCAGTTATCGCAGACATAATAGTAATACATAACTTGAACAAAGCAAGAACGACAAATGTGTACCAGGATAATATGAGTACATCTCTCATTATTTCAAAGATTCTTCGCAACTGTCTACGAACTGAACTACACACAAAATTATAAATCAGAAGTTAACTGGTGGATGGTGACTAGCAGTAGAATCCAGGATGTGCATTTCGGCTGTCCTATTCGGGACTCGTCAGCCTGATGTGCCTGCATTCCCCTGTGAGTTAGTCAGTGATGATGTTCCCACTGAGGCTTGAACCCATCGCCCATAGTTTCAAACGCCAAAGCGTTATCCACTAGACAGACCTCTTAGGCCACGAGAGTCACCTCTTGTGCAACGGGTCATATTAACTATTTAATTTTTCAATTTTAGATTATCCCGTCGATTGATTGGATCGAAGTGGTTGGTCTCAGATTGACATCTCAGCTTCTTGTGTACATGCTTCGACGATGTCTGGGAATGTAATTAGAAGTTAATTGGTGGATTGGAACTAGCAGTGGAATCCAGAATCAGCATTTAATCTTATTTGGCATTTGAAACTATGGCCACTGGGTTCGAGCTTCGGTGGGAACATCATCACTGACTGGCTCACAAGGAAATGCAAGCACATCCAGCTGACGACTCCCAAATAAGACAGCCGAAATGCACATCCTGGTGGATTCCACTGCCAGTCACCATCCACTAATTAACTTCTAATTACATGCTCAGACATCATCGAAGCATCTATACAAAAAGCCGACATATCAACCTGTGACCAACCACTTCGGTTTAATCAATCGACGGGGAAATCTAAAATTGAATTAAAAGTATAAATCACACTAAAGATTTGAACATAACTTTTTCCACGATGACAAGGAGTAACTGACAGAAGGAAATAAAAGTAACATAAATCTGGAATGATATAAGTAGTCAAATAATTAAGAGTTCAAAGGATTACCTATTTATAGGATAGTTAGAAGAATAAGCTTGGAAACAAAATGACAAAACAAAAAAAGTTCAACTAGGACGAGTACATTAATATGATATGTTACGTAACTCCAGAAAATAGTTTTTTTTATAAAATAACAAAAAGGGGCTAGGATGAGTAAGTTTCAGATGAAACAATAGCATTTTTTAATCAAGACAGACAATACAGGAGTACACATGGCGTTACATAATTGTACACACACACTGTTATGTAACTTAAATCACCAAAGTAGTGCAAGATTCACCAATGTCTCTTTCTGCGAACACCGAAATGGTTCAGTCATTTGATGGCGATTACCTCAGGACAACACAACAGGTTAGGTTTCTTTTGCCTGTTGATTATTTTGAACACCTTCAATATTGTCCACAATATGACCAATGTCCATTAAATGGCACACAATCGCACTGTTTAGCGCTTGTGAGTCACTTAGTCTCAGGTTCTTTGGTATGTGTTGAGAAATGAGGACAATCACCCTTCTCTCTCTGTTTACTCAATGTATGTCCTTTGGTACATACACGTCAATCGGTAGACATAGTTGGAGGTGATATGAGGTGGAAGTTTGTCCACTTTTGATTGTCTTCAACAACTGGTCGTTTGATAAGCACACACAAGTTTGGCGGTTAGGGATATTTTCCTTTCCGTGTGACGTTTAGTTTGCATCTTATTCTACTGGCAGTATCTTCAGCTTTGAGGGAAAGCTGTGGAGAGATAGAGTTTCTCTCTACTATGCTACAATTCACTTGCTATTTTATGAAAATATATTTCATGCAGTTACGTAACTTATCATATTGTTAAACTTTGCTTATTTTGTCTTTTTGTTCCTAAGCTTACTCGTTTAATTATCCTATAGATAGTCAATCCTTTTAACTTTTAATTATTTCACAACTTATATCATTCCAGATTAATTTCTTTATTAGATAAGTCACACAGTGAAACAGTATTATTTACTGGATGACTTATGATCGAAGTAGGTTCTGTTCTGTTCTGTCTTCGACATACAACTTCGCACCGATGTGCGGCAGTTCAAGTCGCCACACTCCCTCCATGTAGCATACAAAGCAAGACAAGAAAGTACAAGAAATGCATAATAGAGAGACAGTAAACAGAGGTGTGAGACAAAGGAATAGTAATAACGAAGAACAATATAGTTCCATTGGAAATCATAAGTCACAAGGAGTGGATGCATCTCCGCTGGCCATTGAGAACGATTTTGAGCCATACCACCAATTGTTTCCAACCATTGGTTTTTACCGTCCCGAGGACCCCAATCAGTCAGGAAGTCTACACCTTCCTACGTGGCTTAGACTAACTGTTGTAGATTTCATTGACTGGTGAAGCCATGTTTCGGTTCGATCGGCGCTAGCTTTTCTTGCAGCCTGACCCTACATCAGGTAACATTTCTCGTCGAGGAAGGCACTGGATGACCAAGCACCTGTAACACATATCGTAACCATCTCAGTCAATGTAATTTCACAGCCTCGTCGATTGATTTCCCCTCCTTACCTAGAACTCGACTAATGCCTAACCTTAATATAGCTCACCTTATTATGCCAATTCACACGGGAGATAGAGCGCAGGCACCCATGATCAAAGACGGGTAGCTAGACGTTTCATGTCCTCCACTTTCAGTGGTCGTGTCTCACAGCTAGCCATAAAGGAGGACGGATCGGACTGATGAGCAGTACACCTGCCCTTTGGTCTATAACCAGACGGATATCTCGTCTACGCCAGAGACGGCGTAAACTGGCATATGCGAAACTAGCTCTCTGTATCCGTGCTGAGATTTCGTCAGAGATCAACTCGTTGGCACTGGCTGATGGTACTTCCCAAATAACTGAAGCGGTCAATGTGCTTTACCACTTCACTCCGTATTTTTAATCTATGAGTCAGTGTAGTCCAGTCCTGTAACATCATCTTGCATTTGGCGGGAGCGAATCGCATGCCAAACATTCGTAGATTGCAGCTCAAGGTGTTTAGAAGACTCTGCATTTCGTCAGCGTCCTCGTCTAGTAGGACTATATCGTCTGCATATTCTAAGTCAACGAGATTATTCATACCCTGGTAGCAAGTCAATCCCTGAGTCGCTGAAATGAGTTAGGGTTAAGTCTATTAACACATCTATGATGAAGTTGAATAGAAAAGGGGATAATGGGCATCCTTGACGGACACCACTAGTCGTCACCAATTCAGATGACAACTCGCCGTAAGCCCTCACCTGGCTGCGGTCGAGGTCTGTAGATGACACATTCACTGTACTTAGAACACAGGATATAGATAGATTTTTCGAATATATCAACTCAAACGTGGAGGCAATTCAATTCACTTATGAATTGGAAAGTCAAGAAGGGAAGCTTCCGGTGTTAGATTGTAGAGTAAAAAGGAAAGAAGATGAAAAGTTAAACACACTAGTGTTTACAGAAAACCCACACATTCAAACAGATATTTGGACTTCCGATCATCCCATCCTATGTCAGTAAAAATAGGATTGGTGAAGTGTTTGAGTGATAGAGCGCAAAAACTAAGTAGTACCAGGGAAAATCAAAGACAGGAAGTGATACACATAAAAGGAGTCTTGAAACTTAATAATTACCCGGATAAATTAGTCAGGAAATATGTAAGAAAATGTAAAAATAAAATAAATAATGATAGTAGCGATGGTGACAATAATAATAATATTAATGACGACATGCATGTCAAACATGCGCAAGACAATGACAACACCAACAATAAGGAATCTAAATCATCAACAGTAATTCCATACAGGGAAGGAACCTAGGAAACCTTGCGCTGAATTCTTAACAAGGCAGACAGGAATTAAAGTGGCTGGCGTTCAAACCACCCACAAACTCAATTAGAAACAAGCTTTCTCTCGGTTTAAGGATCAATCCCGTGGAGCCTTTAAAACAAAACAATTTAGTTCACCTAATACCCAGCCTGCAATGATTGTCAGGTCAAAGTAGTAGAACAGGTGCAGTCAGACTAGCCGAACATAAAAACCTAGCAGCAAAATCTAGATTAGTTGACCCAAATAAGATAAGAAATCTAGAGAATAGTTCAGCCATAGCACTACATACAATTACACACTACCATACAAGAGGATGGGATAAGATGACAGTTTTACAATCTACTGTCACAGGGTGGAGAGAGAGATTAATAACGGAAGGTTTGTTTATCGAATCAAATGCAAATACATGTAATAGGAATGATTCAACCCCGGTCCAGCTGGACATCTGGAAAATTCTACTACCCCTACGATGACAAATAGGAAAGAATACAGAAAACTATAAAACTCAAGTTTCAAAGTCATGTGATTACAATTGATGCTATGATTATGAACCGCAATAAATTGTGTTCGAAACTTTGTCATCCAGTAAATAATACTGTTTCACACTGTGATATATCTAATAAACAAACTAATATGGAATTACTCACTACCACAGTTCCCAAGTTTTACACATATATTAGTACCCCTTGTCATCGTGGAAAAAGTATGTTCAAAGATTAAATGCGAAGAATCCTTGAAATAATTCGAGATGAGCTCATATTATCCTGGTACACATTTGTCGCTCTTGCTTTACTCAAGTCGATTAATAGGAAGAACTGTATGAAGTTCTAAGCACATCACTCACTGTCCGTTCAGCAATCGGCACAAGCTTTCCAGCTTAAGTACTCGACTATCAGTCAATGAGTCACTGATTCAAATAGTACTCCACATTTTCGTCAGCCTAAAAAAGATTGAATAGTCTCATCAACTTTAACATAACATGTGTGCTACATAGTCAATCGGGTATGCATAATTCAAATTGACACGAAGAAACAAAAATTCTACACAAAAATGAAAAGAAACGAAACAAAGAAAAAAGACAGGGATAGACATACCTTTAAGAGTTTTAGATAAATTCGGTCTAAGTGTATCAGCTAATTCTGGGAGATCAATAAACAATGAACAGTGTTCATCATTACACATAGTTGTAATACTGGGTGATTGCATTTGACTGAAATAATAAAAGTAATACGTTAATCAGTATTTAAAGTAAATCGGTGGATATTGATTAGTAGTGGAATCTACCAGGATGAGCCTTTTTATCCTGTTTGAGACTCATCAACCGGATAATTTTGGATTCCCCAATGAGTGATGGTGTTCTCCCTGAGACTCGAACCCAGTACCTATCTTTTCAAACACCAAAGCGTTGTCCACGAGACGCCACCTCCTGTGCGATGGGTATCAGTTATTATTGAATTCATTTTGGTTACAGGATTTCATCATGAGCTGACATTGGTTAGACAACCATTGGAAAACCTGGGAGTACTGGACAGCTGTTTCGTCCGTCCTAGTTTGGAACTCTTCAACAGCAGGTAACCACACCCCGGGGTTCAAACCCAGGACCTTCTGGTTACAAGGCTAGCGAGCTTGTAGACCATTAAGCCACCGGACCCGATCCAATGGCTAACCCATGAATTCTAACTTCTGCCAATTCACGACATAACGCGGCCATTTCACAATGTCTTCTTTGATGAGTTACTGCCTCATCTTCGACCTGCTGTACCCTACTGGTCACGACTTCTCACTAGAACCGCAGGTAACTGCCTACCTGAATAGGGCAAGTCGCTAGTGAGCATCTCATCGATATTAAAGTGTTGGTTTGTAGGGATTTGGTTGATTAGTTACAGGATTTCATCATGAGCTGATATTGGTTCTCCAACCAATATCAGCTCATGATGAAATCCTGTAACTAATCAATCAAATCCCTACAAACCAACACTTAAAAAGACAATAATTCTCAAGTGCCTTTTGAAGCATCAAACAAGTTTAAAACACATATTGTGTGTTACGTTTTTCAGTGGTCAAAACTCACACATATTTACTTTCTTTTGTCAACTAAGGAAGATGTGGGAAAGTAAACAAATTGTAGGCAAACAACGCCAAAACATTCATCAATTTTATTCTAAATTATGAATTGGAACAATTTTATGAGGTATATACTTGTTAGTTTGTCCCAGATCTGGAATACTGCCTGGACATCCACATCGAAGCAGGTAGTTTTGTCTCCTGGAGATAGCTTGAAGTCTGATCCACAAAAGCAGTGGAGCAGCGTCAGAAGCCACATGTCCCCATGGTTTCCGGTGACCCAAACAGGTTCATGCACCATTCGATCATTTCGGATTCTAGAACCCATATAGACCATAGGTTTGCAATCGAGGTTTTCCAGCTGCCCTAGGTAGGCCCACGTGTTTGCACTCGCCCTTTCACTTTGGTGAGGAACACCCCCGCAGAGCTGTGTGAAGGCAGTAAAGTCTGTGATACTAAATGCAGTTTTGTATTCATATCTAGGTTTCAGGCTTCTACGTTAAACGATATAAAATTGCATTTTCCTGATTTCATGCTACATATATATGCCCGTTTACTGCATAGGGAATGCTTCGTTTTTACGTCTATCCAAGTAGCACTTATTCAAACTAGGGATATTTTGGGTGTCCCATAAAACCATTCAAAATAAAACAGACTATTGAACATTTAAAAAAAACGACAATAATAATAAAATAACAATATGAACAAGACATACAATTCAGGATTTGTTTTCAAATACTCTATAACATCTTTCAGTTTAGATGTAGTCTGAAATGAAATTTTCCGTGGTACATTGTTACATGCAAGACAGTCAGGCTGAAATAAAAAAAGGACATAAAACAATAATAATAATAATACGTATTTCAAGTTTGATCACGGATTGTTATCAGTTGGAAAACTACTGAGAACCAACACGCATTACTGGACAGCTGTTTCGTCCTAGTTGCGGACTCATCGGTGGAACTCACCGACGGGGTTTCGAGTTCGGGTCCTTCGAGTTACAAGGTAAGCTCGTAGACTATTCAGCCACAGGGACCCAACTGAATGAACTCGAACTTCTACCAATTTGTGATTTTAGCGCGACTGGTATTAGCCAATATCATCGGTGAGTATCTGTCTGATTCCCAACCTCCCGGACCCCACTGGTCACGACTTCTCACTAGAACTCCAGGCAACTTTGTCCTGCGGCCAATCACTAGCCAGCATTAGATTTATCTTCATGAGTTTGTTTACAGGGGTTTTATTTGTTTCTAGTGAGAATTCGGGACCGGTGAGGATAAATGCTCGCCGATGACACCAGCTGGTACCCATCGCGCTAAAATCACGAATTGGTAGAAGTTAGAATTGATTGAGTCGTTTCCCACTGACTGAATAGTCTACGAGCTTGCCTTGTGGCTCGAAGGTCCTGAGTTCGAAACTCAAACAAGAACGAAACATCTGTCCAGGACTCCATGTTGGTTTCCAATAGCTCTCCAATAAAATCCAGCTCAAAATCAGCCTTCAAAGGCAGGTAGTAAAAAATGGGTTAAATGGAGTTCGTAATTCTAGGGATCAGTCCGACAGTAGGTATCACTGCGTATTCAATGATAACCATTGCCTCGGTAGAATTGCTAGGGTCCGATAGCACTACTATGTAAATAATTCTGAGGTCCGGCAGTGTGTGTTTGAACACAGTGCAGGTCACCCGCTCACTGAGTGTAGTCATCTGGAAACATAGGCTTTGGTGGCTTGCATATTTGCTATGAACATCATCTTAGAGGCTTGCCTACCGATCTCTATTCGCCAACATTGAGATTGGATGGAAAAGATGGAGACGTAGTCAGCCTATGACGTGTCACTGTAAGATGAAGGGCATTTGCGTTAAGTCCACATCAGGTGGTATATCCCGACTCCCTCCCTGTTTAGTTATCCAGAAAAGTTCATTGATAAAACAATATGAATTTACCGCCTAGTATGACTATAACTCCAAAAAAAGTCCTTCCTTTTAAAACTGCAGTTTCTTGGTGATGATACTAGTGAAAGTAATAATACAATACCTAAAGAATCCAGTAAAAAGAGTATTCAAATGTAGGAGAAATACACAACCACGTTCAATTTCACGTTCGAGAAATAAGCCTAAACCAACTAATTTCACGCGGATGATTTGTGTTTGATGTCACACAAAATCGAAGACTTACAAGCGAAGACCGACCGACAAACTGGTCGAAGAAGCAGCCGGCGAAGACAGGACTCCAAGCGAACATAGACAAGACGGAGGTGATGAAAATAACCAGCCAGCAACAACAATAACAGCAGCAACATCCAGCGCCAATCACCATTAACGGGAGGGATTTGAAAGAGGTTACTTCATTCACTTCACTTATCTAGCATTGAGCATTGTCTCAACTACAGGAAGTCGGAACGGACGAGGATGTCAATCAAATAGAGAATCGGGAAGGCGAGCGAGAAACACATTCATCAACCTGAAACCAATCTGATCTGGAAATCTTCGTCACTCGCCATCAACAACAAAATTCGGTCGGATTTTCAATACAAACACGTCAAGTCAGTCAGTTCTTCTATACGGATCAGAAACTTGGTGGGCGGGTAACAAATAATATTTCCAACAGCCTGTTGCAGACCTTCATTAACAACAACTGTCTTCTCTGGGTCTATACTGAAGATCAGATGGCCGGACCAGGCCGGAAAGAATCACCAACAACAAGAAACTATGGCTGGGAGCACACAAAACAAGAACAAATCACCAACCAACTAATATGCAGGAGAAAGTGGAGATGGATTGGATACTCGCTCGCTGGAGAGGCCACTGAGTGACATCGTGCGCGCGTCAGGCCATTGCTCGAGTGGAACCCGACAGAATGGGAAGCGGCGAGTGGGACGTCAGTGCAAGGGTGACATGGAGGAGATGGTGTGAAGAGAGAGGAGTTGAAAGAGTATGGACTAACATGGATGGGTGCAGGTGAAAAGTACAACAGAAGACAGAAGTGGTAAGTGGGGACGTGCAGTTGAAGCGCTATGTTCCACTAGGAACCCAAGGGAACAATAATAATATGATATAATCCATTCATTCACTATAGAGTATACGTAACTGTAGAGCCTGATGATGAAGTGGTTATCGAAAAGAGTGCTCTTTGTTCAGTATCCATTCTTTTGAAAAAGTTTAATGGGCATTTTTAATCAGTTAAAATAATAATAACAATAATAATCACGCAATAACACCTATCTCTGGAGGTGGACAACGACTACTTACTTTACGTTCAACAGAAAAACCGTATGTGTACACTCCATCAATATCACTGAAATTCATATAACTATCTAAATAATTATAACAGAATGTGATCAGTTTGAAAACCTGTAAGGGAAAAAAACAACAACAAGAATAGGGAAAGAGGAGAGAAGAAAGCAATGAGACACACATGCATGAAGGCGTATTTGTTTTTCTTTAGAAGTTATCCCCATTTTTATGTTGTCTGCCAAAGAAAACCTACATTGCCAGTATGGATAAACTAAATTACTTCATTTGAAAATATGTCCAAATCAAGTTCACTTTTAACAGTTTGAAGAAATTTGGCCATTGGGTAATCTGTGATAATCACTATTATAAAAGTTTGTATATTTTTTCCGATCGATAACTGCTACCTTGTCGTAGTGGTCGGGGGCTTGAATACCGTAATGACCCAACATGCTAAACTGACTGGGACTCTGTCCCTGCAGGTTCTACCATGTCAGGAAGGTTGTTTGGATAGCGGTTAAACTAAAAGCAGTTACCATGATGGAGCACATTGGCTCCAGTATCCAATCGGACCAAATGGCGTATGAACCCATATGGGTCACCGGAAACCATGGGAATGCAGCAGCTCCTGACGCTGCTCCGCTGCCTTGCGGATTAGACTTCAAGTCAAAGGCTCGGAGGGTGGTCCCTTATGAAAACCACCTGCTTCGGTCTGGGCGCCCGGGCAGTATCTCAGCTTTCACACAATGAATTATATAAAGCAACAAACAATCAATGAAGCTTATCGCGTGCTATTACACGTGTTGCAGTTTCCTTCTTTCTTCCCTTCCCGATGATAGTGAACGAATACTGTTTGAACTTGTTCAGCATGACTGTTTTCCTTCCAAATGAAGTTCTTTATCCGTTCTCTACTTATATATATATATATATATATATTTCTCTCTCTTTCTCTTTATTTTCTTTTGATCTATGTTGTTTTACTATTATTGTGTGGCGCATTCTTCCTGGTGCCATATTGTACCAAGATTTTATGCGTATAAATAAATAAATAATTTCCCAATGAATGAATGAAAAACAAAACGATATTATTGTGTTTTACTGATGTTTCGCTATTTAATGCTGCTGCTAATAGCCTTTATCAGAGTAGTACTGTGGTGAGTCAAAATTGGTGGACAGTAATTTACGTCAATCTTTATGTCCCCAATATTGGCCATGAGAAAAATGAGAAGAAAGGCTTTGCGTGGGCGGATACAGTTAGTATATAGATGATCTGACATTCAAGAAACAGCTACAAAGAGATGCAAGGTTAACTTTCTGTGAGAAACAACCAATCAGAAGACTGTGTTTTTCTGCTAACAATAATCTATAATAATGTACATGAAAATCTATAAAAATGTATTGATTTCGTAAATAAACGATCTGTTGGCTGGCCCTTGTCTTCTGTTGTTACAGTATTATTAAACCAGAGTATAAAAAATCTCAGCCTACATATACCGCAACTTGATCATCTTTCATCAGCATATGGTAGTTTCTTACGCAAAGCCATGTGTAGATTATTGGATTTGATAAGTGTATAAAATTATAAAATTGCGTCAGCGTCACAGCGGTAGAATGCCTGCCGACTACGCATGTGGTCCGGAGTTCGATCTCCGGCCGCTGACGCACTCCTCTATTACCTCGCTAGGCCAGTAATAAAACTGGTGAAGAAGAGGAAGGTTGGTCATGAGGCTAACAACCCCATCTCCATGACTGCTACCGGAACTTCAAGTCTGTACCTTGAAGCCCTATATTCTACTGGGAACGCGTTAAGGAATAAAAAAATAATAAAATAAAATTATAAAACCAGGATGTGTTTATATAATGAAATCGCTTATCATATTGGTGTTGATTTTGCCACTTTATGGGGAGGAGGGAAGGTGCTGAGACCAGGTAAAATTCCGTTTTCGTTCATCATTCCAATTCAGACATTTTGGATTCTATTTATAGTATGAAGTGCTTCTATCACTGGACGTACTTTGTGATTTCTTAAATATTATTACTGTCCGGATTATTTCAATATATAGGCACCTATGGCTGATGATCGTTCTAAGCATTTCTAGTTCAACTGAATCTCTCAGTGGAAGTATAACATCCTCTACAGTATACATTTCTTCTGATCTTGATTTCTCTCTCGCAAGGTTTCTTCGATGCATATCGTATCACATACTAAGTGTATTATTTTACAGACACAATTAGATTGACAACCCTTAGGGATTTGCTTTTTTATACAGAAAAAATCGTTTTCTAGTGTGTTTGAAGCATTGAAAATCTTGAGTGAGAATTATAGAAAAGACTAGATTGGCCGTAGCGCCGTTTACTCAACAGCACAACCTTTCAAATTACATTGGGAGATATAAGACTGATAAGTAAACTAACTACATTGAATTAATCATGCAGAAATACACGTGCGAATGTTTTCCAGGTCGTGTTCAAATATATAAGGGGAGAGAGAGTATGAGTGATCAAAATTAGGATAAATTGCATTACGCTTCAATTACATCACTTAGATAAACAATTAGCCATTAGGGAATATAACGAGAATTTCAAACAGACTAATATCAATAGTAATAGTTATAATAACAATAATAATAATAGTGTTGAAGTGAGTTAAGATAGTCTTACTGATAAAGCATAGTTTTAGATGAATCAAGAATAATAATAATAATAATAATAATGGTAATAATAATAACAATAATAGTAAGAAGAAGAGGTAGAATAATAGTAATAACAAGTAGAGAATAATAAGTAAAACGTATTACCATGGTAGATTCTATGTGCGTCGGTGGCACAGTGGTTAGGACTCTCGCCGACCATGCACATGGTCCGGGGTTCGAGCCCACGCCGGCGCACACCTGATATCTATGGTCGGCCTGCAAAATATGGGCTACCGATATCCATGCTGAAAATTCCATACTTGTACCAAAAATACAGTGTGGAATCAAGCTGTAAATCAAAAAAAAAAATTCAGAGTCACTACTATCTCCTTTTGTATACAGAGAGCTGGTTTATAAATTCGAATTGCACAAGCCTCTGCAATTGCAAGCATCTTCTTGTTTCTTTGTTTGCTGACAATGGTGGATGACTTGACTGCGTCGATATCATGTCCGTAATCTACAAGATGTTTTGTTATTGAGGATTTTGGCACTTTGAACTCAGCTGTTTTCAACCATTTTGGCAAATGCTCCATCATGTGAGTAGACAATCGCCTTTCCGTACGACCTATGTATTTGCTGCCACAAACACACTCAAATTGATATATGCAGTTTGAAGTGTCGAGGATTGGCGACTGGTCTTTCCCAGATTGTTGAAGCACTCGCTTGGTGGTGTTAAGGATAACAAGTTTTGCAGCATAATAAGTTCTCTTGATGGCTTTGTCGAGTCTTCGTTTCACTACTTCCTGTACGTCATCTCCTTTGAACGGCGAATTGATATAGACAGGTTTCTTTGGAACTGTTTGAATTGTTTTGCAGGGGGTAGTTTCTTTAGAGTATTTATTAATGAACTTCTCAGGATATCCATTCTTAGATAAAATATCCTTCAGAGATTTTATTTCATGTTCAATAGTACTGTCAGAACAAATTTTTCGTGCTCTATTGAACAGTGTTCTGACTAGGTTCTTTTTGTACTGGACTGGAACAAAGCTCTTGAAATGCATGTACTGTCCTGTCCACGAAGACTTTCTAAATATAGATCTTTCGATTGTGCCATCATTCATTTTGGCTAGAAAAACGTCTAGGAATTTAATAGTATTATTTTCCTCGTGTTCTACTGTGAAGTTGAGATTTGGATGGCATGAACTGAATTTTATCAACATGTCTTCCGCTTTTGATCTGCTTTCACAGACAATAAAAATGTCATCAACATATCTTAGGTATACATCCGTTTCTTGTATATGTTGCTGCAAAGTACCGGTTTCTAGGCGTGACAAGAATAAGTCGGCGAAAAGTGGTCCCGAAGGGCTTCCCATTGCGACACCATCAACTTGACGGAACAGACACCCGTTGAATTGGAATTGGTTTGTCTTCAGCTTCTTTACATATGAAGTCGATAGTCTCAACGACTGGCACATTTGTGAAAAGGGAGGTAACATCGAAAGAGACCAAATGCTTATCGGATACATTGAAATCTTTAATTTGATTGACAAATTGAAATGAATCAGAGACTATATGTGTTCCGAAACGTTTCAGCAATGGCTGCAACAGTTCACATAACCACTGTGCTAATCTGTGGTATGGTGAGTTTATCATAGAGAGTATGGGTCTTAACGGCGCTCCTGGTTTGTGTATTTTTACGCGTCCGTATAGTTTTGGGATTTGTGACCCAATCGGTTTGATATTTCTATATGTGTTTTCGTCGATGTATTTATTTTTGAAGAGTTGTCGTAGATGCTGCACAATTTTCCTTTCGGTTGATAACGTTTGGTCTTTTGCATGGTTATCCAATTTGAATTTAGATTCATCAGAGAGAATTTGATGCATTTTTTCGAGATAATCTATCTTGTTCATTAGCACTACACTTTGTCCTTTATCAGCTTGTAGGATAACAAGATTTTTGTCTTTTCGAAGCTTGTTTAAAGATCTCCAGTGTTCTTTGGTGATATGCGACTTTTGATTGGTCGGCATGACTCGAAATTGATGAGCAATATCAACCATCTTTGCTTTCAACCAGCTTTCGCTGTCACTGGACGTGGCATGTAGCCCCATAAGTTGATCATAAAGATTTTCGAATTGGCATTCGATATCGATTTGCTTTATCTTTTTCATGGGAACACAGAATTTGAATCCCAATGACAGAATTTCTGCTTGTTCTTTTGATAGGGAAACATCAGATAAATTATGAACATAATTAGATATATCCACTGGGAAAATTTCATTTGGCGGTTCCGGATAAAGTGACTTCTTCAGTTTCTTTTCTTCTGATTCTTTTGTCTTTTTTGATGTGGCATGCAGATATTTAGTGAATTTAATATAACATACGAAGTTTAAGTCATTTTGTACATTGATCAGTTTGCTTGACAATAGGCATAAATTACTGATTTCATCTGTTTCAGAACACAAATGTGATTCAGCAAGACGGTAAAGATTCGCTCGTGTAGGTCTCAAATGATCTTTACGCAAGGATTTGTAAAATGTTCGAGGATAAATATTATTCTGGATACATTCCTTCAAAAAATCTCGTCGTGCAGAGTGTTTAGCAATCCTGCACTTCAATTTCACTAGATCATTTAGTGCATTGATAGTGCTTTTTGGGAGACGCTTCTTCAAGAATTGAAAACATTTATTTCCCGATACGAATTTAAAACAAGCAATAAAGGTTAATAAAGCAGGATTTAATGAATTCATCAAATTTCGGTAGAACTCGTCAGCTGAATGCTCTACATATATATATATATATACCAATGTAATTTCAAAAGTATATATATCCGTGTATGTAGAGTATTCATGGACTGGCCATTGAATCGGGTCCGAGTGACTCAACGGTCTACGAGCTCGCCCTCTAACTGGAAGGTCCTGAGTTTGAACCCTGCGGTGCGGGTGCATATTGACGAAGAGTCCTAAACTGGGACGAAGCAGCTGTCCAGTACTCCCAGGTTTTCCAGTGGTTCTCTAACTAATGTCATCTCATCCTACATCGAATCAAACAAACGGTTCACTGTCTTACATTAAGACACATCGATCGTAGCCAGAGGAGTGATTTTCACACGGATATGGTGACACACTTGAGCATAGTGTTACAATGAAGAAATAAGGGTTGAGAGAAACTCAATTCTAGAAGATTTAATCGACTTCTGTCACTCAATTAACCGTGAAAACGACTTAAAAATTAATTCGGCTAACTTGCCGTCTTTTCTTTATCCCTAACTCCGAAAGATAGTAGGATTCATGAATTTAAGCCACACTTTTGTGTACAAAAATTGTATACAATCGTTATTTGTCCATCGTAGAGGAATAAAACAATTATCGATTTTTAGTCTTATTAGTTTAGTCCCTTGGTATTATGATTTTTATTATTTTCATATTTCGATATATTACTGATTGATTGTCATGAGTAGTTAAACTCCACCCACATCAACCAGTAGTGCTTGCTAGCCAGCCAAATCTAAATGATCTCGACACCGGATGACAGTTTCGCTCGTTTGAGACCGAAGTCATCAATGGTGGTCATCCGATTTGATTCAGCTGAGAGAGCCGAATCAGTTCAAACCACCCAAATTCTGGCTGGCTAGCTAGCTAACTAGCTGGAGAACATGTAATAAGTCGAAGCGCATATCCAGTTTGCAATTTGCACAGTTCGAGGTGACATTTCACCACGCTTTCATTTGGCAACTGAAATTATACAGATTATCAATATGTGATTTACTTGATACGATAAATAGCAGTCAAGAAGATGAACTAGTATAGACTGAAAGACCCAGGACGATATGATTTTACACCATCTATAACTCAAAACGACTACTGTGCAGGCCACCAAATTGAGATTAAAAAGCCATTTAATGACTATGCATAATAACTGTAGATAGCCTTCAACGTTGAGTGATTATTCTAAACACACACGCACACACACAAATCAGATGATTGAAAAATGTACAAAATCCAGATTGGAACAAACTTCCAACAAATTAACTGGCTTGCAACACATATATTTAAAAGAGTAGTCTTATTGTATAAAAGGATTCGCATAAGGATGGATTGTGTTAACCAACTTAGTGAACTGGTGCTTCAAAAGGCAGAATGTGCTATCCAAACATGCTTATGGTGAGGGTTCGATTCCCGACCAATGCACCACAATTAGAGAGTAGTAAACCCAGCAACATCCAGCGTCAATCAACATCAACGGGAGGGATTTGAAAGAGGTTACTTCATTCGTTCACTTATCTAGCATTGATCATTGTCTCAACTACAGGAAGTCGAAACGGACGAGGATGTCAAATCGGGCGAGAATCACCGGGAAGGCGAGAAACACATCAACATCATCAACCAACTGAAACCAATCCGCAAAAATCTTCGTCACTCAGCCAGCATCAACAACAAAATTCGGTCGGATTTCAATACAAACAACGTCAAGTCAGTCAGTTTTTTTTTCTATACGGATCAGACAGAAACTTGGCGGGCGGGTCACAAAGAATATTTCCAACAGCCTGTAGCATGCAGACCTTCATCAACCAACAACTGTCTTCGCTGGATCTATACTGAAGATCAGATGGACGGGCGGGCCGGAAACAATCACCAACAACAAACTCTGACTGGGAACAAACAAAACAAGAACCAATCTCCAACCAACAAATATGCAGGAGAAAGTGGAGATGGATTGGACACTCGCTGAGGAGGCCGCCACTGGGTGATATCGCGCGCCCATCAGGCCATTATTCGAGTGGAAACAGGCCGAAAGAGAAGCACGCGGCGAGTGGGACGTCAGTGCAAGGGTGACATGGAGGAGATGGTGTGAAGAGAGGAGTTGAAAGAGTATGGACTAACATGGATGGGTGCAGGTGAAAAGTACAGCAGAAGGAAGACAGAAGTGGCAAGTGGAGATGTGCGATTGAAGCCCTATGTTCCACTAGGAACCCAAGGGAGCAATAATAATATACAATAATAAAATAAACCCGGTAAATAGGGAAGGTTAGGTGTGAGGCTAACAACCCCGCAGCCCGTAAAACAACACCGCCGCTAATGAAGGTGTGTCTGTGGCGCGGCGGTAGGATGCTCACCGACCACGCATGTGTTCCGGGGTCCGATCCCCAGCCACTGACTCACTCCTTTACTTCGCTAAGCCAGAATAAGACTGGTACAGAAAGGAAAGGTTGGTAATGAGGTTAGCAACCCCATCCTGTAAAAATAAACACCATTGTTACCGAGACTTCAGGCCTCTAGCCTGAAGCCTTATGGTTCCACTCGCAACGTGAAGGAATAAAAGCAAAAAAATAAACGATGTTTATGTTTTTCAGAAAAGGTACCCACCTCAGTTGCACAGGCAGCAGCAATCACAGCATTTGTCGATGCGACAGCAGGGATGATTCGTTTTACAACACCTTGTACAAGGCGTAGTGTAACACCAGATATACCATAGTATTTAGCTCTTTCACACGACTTTTCATATATCCATTGTATGTGTTCAGGTGAATCACCGTCAATGGCAACGCCATCTGAACAAAAGAACGATCATAGATAATGTAAAAATTTAATGGGAAACAATTTTAAACCCAATTGAGATAGCTACGACACCTGTTGTGCATGCTAGACCATCGCCTTACTCGACAAACAGTGTCAGTTGACAAAGGATCGTCTTGGAAATTACTTTATGATTTATTATTATAATTGTTCCCATGGGTCCCAAATGAAACATAGGGCTTTAACAGCACATCTTCACTCAGTCCTATTCTCTGAGGTCCCCCCTAGCTGGCCCCACGATTGCCCAAAGCCTCCTAACACGGTTCCCTCCATGTCACTTTCAGACGATCCACTCATCATTTCCCATCCAAGTTCCATTCGACGGCGTGACACGAGATGTCAATTGATGGTCTCCCCAGAGTGTTTCCGATCCATCTACATTTTTTTCATGGATAATCCCCATTCAGGCATTATTAATGAAAACAAAACACGTAGTTCAGCGAAGAGTCTCTTTTCGGCGATGAATTCATTTTCTAAGCTGTACAATAGCAAATATATATGTGTTACTTTGTATGTATGTGTACATTAAGTTTGTCAAACAAAAATACAATTGGTTATGGTTATTTTAACTAAACAGGTGAAGATTGGTAATTGGAGTTACTTAATGCAAAATCAGTCAAGAAAATTGGGTGTTAATGAAATTAGGGTAGTAACAAAGGTGACAAACAGTTGTTAAAAAAAGAAGTTATGTAATAATAATATGAATAGTTTGATGAGTGAGTTTTACTCAGGATGCACATCGAAACTAAGTAGATAATACGAAATTACGTAAGAGTTCTAAATGAATACAAGAGTTATAAGCAATTAAAGAACAGGGAAACAAACAAAATGAAGTCATCAATATCAAAAAGTCGTTACCATGACAGTAGAAATGGTTGAGTAATCTTCTTTTGTATGCACAGCTCCCGTTTTTTCTATGTGAATGGCCAGAGCTTCAGCGATACAAAGAAGACGAAACCGTATTGCCTTTTGGTAGATTATTCTTGTCTCTGTAGATTACTTTGAAGCAGGAAACGTTTGTTGAGATGGAATGATGGGTGTTAACCACGTTTTCAATGATCGCACTCCTTATTGCACCATTATTGCCTTTTCGCAACCATGCTGGCTGGATAGTGTTCTTGAATCCTCTTGGACAGGATGCGCGTCGAACGACCGATGAACCTGGCTCCACCGCAGCAGGTGAACTGATATATGCACATAGAAGTGGTCAGATGCGGGATCTTGTCCTTGAGGCTTCTGCAGATCAGTGGGCAACTGGAGAACACTATTCTTAGGTGTTGCTGCAAAGAATGTTCTTCTCAGAGATGATGTGAGAATATCGCTTATTAAATCTCCCTTGAAATCCAAGTTCATGTAGAGTTTCTTTTTAGGCGCAAGTGAAGTTTCGTTTCTCCGAATTCTACGTTTGATATTTTTGTCAATCAATCTTATTGGGTATCCATTTTCGATGAAGATTTCTCTTAGAATATATAATTCTGTTTCCAGAACATCGGGACTACAAATGCGTCGGATGCGGGTGGCAGGTGATTTAATTAAATTCCGCTTTTGTTGAATGGGTACCCAGTTATAGAAGGTTGTTAGTTGACCATTCCAAATAACTTTCCTGTGGATCGATCTTTTTAGGCTCCTATTAGTTCTTCTTGTTAATTCTACATCAAGAAATGGAATTTTCGATTCGCTTTCCACTTCAAGAGTGAATTTTCTTTCTGGATGGCAACAGTTAAATGTCTTCATCACCTGTTTTACTACCCTAATTTCATAAACACCTAATTTTCTTGACTGATTTTGCATTAAGTAACTCCAATTACCAATCTTCACCTGTTTAGTTAAAATAACCATAACCAATTGTATTTTTGTTTGACAAACTTAATGTACACATACACACAAAATACCATATATATATATTTGCGATTGTACAGTCGCCGAAAAGCGACTCTTCGCTGAACTACGTGTTTTGTTTACATTTTCTTTCACATATATGCTGAGCAACACGTTCTTGGTTGGTTTGTTCCCTTCGCCAATTCCTGCCGATTGCCTCCAACCATCTAATATATCATCAAATTAATATGCACCGTGATGGCGAGCTACCTAGAATGGTGGCCACATTACAAACCTGACTGATGGAACTCAGTCTGCACCAAAGAAAGGGCTAGACACATCACACTAGTAACCAGTGTGCAATAAAAAAGTTAACTGATCTATCGTCCGATGAAAATTACACGAAATATCAAAAATTGGTGAGAGTTTGAGGAGACAGGACACCAAGTGAAAATGTGGGTGTGTGTGTGTGTGCGGTCAATAATCAGCCAATAACTGCAGAAACAACTTAGCACTATCCAAAGTTGACGCAAATCAATTGAAGAGGTTGTGAAGTTACACAGATTGAGATGGTTAGGATATGTGCTACGCCTGCTTGCCTGCCTGCCTGGTCATCGCCTTTCTCGACAATGAGCAATGTTAGCTGACATAGAATGGAACAGGTTGGAAAAGAGCTAGCCAGCTAGCTAGTGGTGGCCAAGCCAAAACATGGCTTCATCAGTCAGTAAAAACCCACAACAGTTGGTTTAAGCCAGCCAGCTACGTAGGGAGGTGTAGGCAGCTATCTGGATAGGGTCCTCGGGATGGTAAAAATCGTCCTCAACGGCTGGCGCAGATGCATTCACTCTTTGTGATTTAAAATATCCAATAAAATTCTATTATTCTTCCATATCACTACTCTTCTTGCTTCATATTTCTGTTTATTATCTCTTTCTTTCGAATCTCTCTTTATTCTCTTCTCTTGCTTTGTGCGCTACATGGAGTGTGGCAACTCAAACTGCTGCAAATCTGTGCAAAATCATACGTTGAAATCAGTCAGTCAGTGAGAATAAACTGTTACTCTTCCTTTGGGGAAAAATACACAGCTAAATACTTTCTAAAGTTAATCATAATGATATCGTCTGAAATGCCATCACAATGAAAGCTTCATTCGTGACTAAACTATACAGTTCAGAGAATATGATCCGATGAAAATGAATTATCTTTCTAGTGAATAAAATTGAATGCAACACCTGATCCCAGTGAAGGCAGTAAATAATCAAATTCACAAGTAACAAATGAAATATGAAATACCAACTGATTGTAGATGCAAGCCATTAGTAGTCGGTAAAACTTGGCCGCGAGAGGAATGCTTTGTGTGGTAATCTGAAAGAGGCGCACAGCTGGCCCGTGAAGTGCCAGAATAAGAAAGATGACAAAATCAACCCGTTCAAAAAGAAGGTTGGGAAACGTTCTTGTGATAACCGTAGAGTTCATAACCATACTACGCAAATCGAGAACAGCCAGCTCGACGAAACCACACTAGATTTGAATGTAACCGTGGTTGTATTGAATGCGTGACTTACCCACTATTACAGCAACGAAAAACACATCATTTGCCCTAATTAAGTAACCGCAGATGACATTTACAACTGTCTATTATCCGTTGAGCTAAACACCAAGTCTTTCTGTTTTCGACATAGAACTTTGCACCGATGTGCAGTAGTTCAAGTTACCAAACTCCATGTAGCACACAGAGCGAGAGAAAAAAGTAGAAATGAATAATAAAGACAGCAGACGGGGATATAAGGCTAAAAGGATAGTTAAATCGAAGAACAACAGTTTTATTGCATATGACAAGTCACAAGGAGTGGATGCTTCTGCACCAGCCAGTGACAACGATTTTGAGCCATATCACCAATTGCCTCCAGCCATTGGTATTAACCGTCCCGAGGATCTCAACCAGTCAGAAAGTCTACATCTTCCTACGTAGCTGGCTGGCTGGCTGGCTTAAACTAACTCTTGTGGATTTCATTGAGTGACGAAGTCATGTTTTGGTTTGACCACCACTGGCTCTTTTCCAGCCTGATCTATTTTATGTCAGCTAACATCGCCCATCGAGGAAGGCGATGGCTAGGCATACTTAACACATGTCCCAACCATCTCAGTCGATGTAACTTCACACTCCCGTCTATTGATTTTCCCTCCTTACCTAGTACTCGATGCCTAACCTCCATATTGTTCACCCTATTATACCACTTAACATGGTAGATAGAACGCAGGCCCCTATGATCAAAAACAGCTAGCCGGGTTTTTCATGCCTTCCACTCTCAATGGCCAGGTCTCATAGCTATAAAGGAGGACGGAGCCGACTGCTGAGCAGTACACACGTCCTTTGGCTGATAGCCGGATATCGCGTTTACTTCAGAGACGGCGTAAACTGGCATATGCAAAACGAGCCCTCTGTATCCGTACACCTAGTAGTGTACTCCGTTCCGCTATTCGGCCTCAAAGTACCATCACCAAAGGCAGATTTGTGAAGGCTCCAAGTGTATTTGACATCTAATCCCTATATACCATTACTATCACTAAAACAAGGCTATACATCAGACTCAGAATTCAATAGGCAGGTTTAGTCGAATACTAAAGCTTAAGGTTTACGACTAATTTATCAACTCACTATAACTTGCATAGTCGATAACCAAATAACCAAAGCTAAATATCCGTAGACACAGGCAGTAAGTTTTAACAAATGTCTTCGTAAGTCTTCAAGGATAAGTCTATGGAAGGAGGAAGCTGAAAATCAATAAAAACCACCAACTAGTCTAACAGAGTAACATAAGCCTATTTCATAATAGTAATAATAATAATAATACAAACACTAGCCTACACACTGGCTGTTAGCGATAACTGTTACGGACAGGTCAATATAATGCCAACTACTTGCTCAAAACCTCATAAGTGAAAAAGTGTTCAACTTTCTGTCCTATATATGAAAATTAAATGTCTAACCGAGTATAAACCCATATTTTAAGCGATAGTAAGACAATATCTCAGAAATAAAAAGTAGTTTCTGGCCTTATAATAAAAAGGTTGCCTTTGAAACAAAACATTAAGAAGCAATAACCACTTAATTGTAACAGAGAAAAAGCACGAGAATCATTCCCAACCACTTTTACTGCTTTTACTTACCTCCAAAAGGAATTTCTTTAGGCCATAACAATATTCTCACATATTCTATACAATGTTCTGGAAGTCGAGGAGTATGCGCAATTGTGCATAAAGGGAAATTAACTGGAGGTGGATAAAGATCTAGTGTACACTCTAGACATCCAGTTAAACCATAGAGAACAACAAGAACATGTCCTTTGAATCCTTCTGTCCCACCATCAACAAGCGGGATTACAGTGTTAGGATCTGGTTGACCATTTGTATCATAACGCACTAAACTTGCCTAAAATAGAGATACAATTGGAAGTTTAAAAACAAATCTAATAAGTAGCACACTACTTGAATATCTCTCTTCTAATGTAAATCAAACTACAGGTTATTTTAATCTACGGTTAAGTTTTAGAAAACTATACTTTTTTGTATAGTTTTGTCTAAGCACGTAGTTCATCACTGACAATAATTCAGACGTATTCCACAACGTTGGTCGAATCAGTGATTTGGAGTCAACCACTTGTTTTTTTCAACCAAGGGACGTGTGTACTGCTCAGCAGTTCGCTCCGTCCTTCTCTATGGCTCTGAAACATGGTCAATACGCGTTGAAGACATGAAAAGGTTGACTGCTTTCGATCATAGATGTCTGCGATCTCTGTCTCACGTTAGGTGGTGGTATAATAAGGTAAGTAATGTTGACGTTTGGCGTAGTGTTGGGCAAAGAGGGAAAATCAATCGACGAGGCTATAAAGTTACACAGACTAAGATGGCTAGGTCACGTGGTGCGCATGCCTAACCATCGCCTCCCCCGACGGGCATTGCTAGCTGATATAGGTGCAGGTTGGAAAAGAGTAAGTGGTGGCCAAACAAAAACATGGCCTCATCAATCCATGAAATCCTTGACAGTTAAACTGAGTCAGGTAGGGAGATTCAGACTCCCGGGTTGGGGCCCTCGGGACTCCAGGAATCAATGGCTGGAGACAATAGGTGACATGCCTCAAAATCGTTGTCAATGGCCAGGGCAGATGTATTCAGTCTCTGTAATCTTTCATATTCCTTTCTACCATTACCCATTATTCTGTTTCACTCTTATACTTGTCAAACTCTATTGATTCTCTTCACTCATCTTCTTGTCTACTTTCGTGTGCTATTTGGAACGTGGCAACTCGAACTGGTGCACTTCGGTGCCAAGTTCTATGTTGAACCCAGACAGACAGACTTGTTTTTCCAAAACACAGTAAATTTAGCTAAACTTAGGATGATATATTTTTCTAAGACAGTGCTGAGCTTGATTCTCATGTTGAACTTAACATTTAACCTCTACTCACAGTTTAGTTCTAACCATTTATGAATACCTAGCTCTCATGCGTTATCATTTTGTCTTTTAATTGAAAGGGAAATGGAGTGAAATAGGTTATTAAGTTCATATTCCAATGTAAAATTGATGTTTTCATTCATTTACACACATATAATCCATGTTAACTTTAACTAGTAGTTAAATTGACGGACAGCTGGTCGGTTCTAACCAAAAACAAGATTCGATTCAGTCAACGCTTATATATGCTTCATAGACTCGATGGGCGCATCACCAAAAGCACTTCCAACAGACTGCTGAAGACGTTCATCAACAGCTGTCCCTTGCACTCTATGTTGAAGATCAGATAACCAACCAGAAAGGATCAGAAACAAAGAACTCTGGCAGTGAATCAACCAATCAAGAGCGCCCATTGCCCAATAAATATGCCGAAGAAAATAGAGACAAGTCGGACATACGCTGAGGAGACCGTCGAGTAACATCACGCGTCAGACACATTCCCAAGTGGAACCTGCATGAGAAACGACGAGTGGGGATTTCAACGGAGACATGGTATAAACACCAATAAACCTATGATAAGTGATGACCACACCATCATATTACAACCGGATAAAGGTTCAGGTGTCGTAGTGATGAATAAGACTGATTATACCAAGGAAATGGAATCCACTCTAAAAGGTGCATTAGAATTAAAGATTGACACCCACATGAAAGATATGGCAGATTCTACAGGAAAGATTAAAACAGTACTTAGAGAACTTATGGAAAGGAAAATGACTGACAGTTTTACGTATAGTGAATTAAAGTCTAAGGGATTTGATCTTCCATATATGTATAACCCACCAAAGGTACATAAGCCGAATTGTCAAATGAGACAGACGACATCGATGGTAAATCCACCGTTTCACAAAGTTGCTTGTTGGTTAGACAAAAAGGTGGGACCACTTCGACAACGGCTGGCTAAACATACTCTGAACAACACGTTCTAATTCGATATAAAGGTAAGGCAACTTAGTGTGTGTAGTAGATTTATGGTATCCTTCGATGTGACCCTGTTCACACAGCTTCGCCTTCATGAGACCTTAGACATTACCTGTTCACACGCTAATCTCCTTCTACCGAAACTTGAACTCAAGCAACCTCTTTTATTATATATATCACAAATACACAATTCCAGTTCGGCAACGAAATGTATTATCGAATTGATGGAGTGGAAACGGATAGTCATTTGGATCCTGCACTGGCAGATTCTTTTATGGTTAATCTTGAACGTACAACGTTTAAGTGTGCAACTGATGGAGTAATAGCCTACTATAGATATAGATACACAGACGACACATTCATTGTGTGCAATGATCTGAGTCATGCTTCGTATCTGCTTGAGTTATTCAACAATGTATATGAAAGCATCATTTTCATAATGGGACACAAAGATTGTGCGAGATTCAACTTCTTGGATATCGTCTTGAAGAGAAGAATAGATGGGACACTACAAATAATTCCTAAAACCACGTTTAACAATTTTAGAATTTTTGACGTTGATGTATCACTAAACTAACCAGTTATTTATGTTAAATTAACTTATCCAAGTGAAGTGAATCTATTACTTATGTTCCATTGTTACAAAGTACTTTCAGTAGTTCAACAGAGAAATTTTAAAAAAATATCGGGATGAGAACATTTCATGTTTCTCACAAAAAGTCTCTTAACCGTGTGAAGACAAAATAGGAATGCACACTTACCAGCAACGAATTAATCCACCGCCGAGCTATTATTGAATCCAAACCACAGACGACTGCATTAAACTGCTGATAAAAAGATTCATCAAAGTCTTGAATTTTTTTGTAATGTGGAATCACTTTGCATGTAGGAACTCGACGCATAATAAACTCAGCAGCAACATTAGCCTTAGGTTTGCCAACATCATGTGGTCGAAACAAGAATTGTCTGTTCAAATTAGAAATGTCAATTGTATCCATATCTATGACTTCTAGGTGACAAAAACCCATCATCGCCTGGATTATATTATAAACGTATGAATACATATGAAACATACAAGATCTTTCAGAAGCTCGCAACCCAAACCGCCAGCGCCAATGACAAGAATTTTCACGTGTTCTTTGACCATGCTTAAAAGCTTAAAAGTATATGAAGTAAAAAGGCATACGAACTTCATCTGATGGTTCAAATTCTGACCGCTGAAATGGTCCAGAACGTCCAAGAATACATCTCAGGTTTCTCCATTTTTTGTAGATAGGAATTGTGGAATGCATTACGTAAGAAGTGGTCGTTGCAGGTCTTACAACAGGAGCACACAAATTAACAGAAACCTGGTAAGTTCCGAATAAATGGATGTATCCTATACCAATGTGATAAAAACAAATGAACTCAACTGCTTACGGTAATCTACGTACTTTCCGGAATTATAAGTAAATGAACTGCCAAAAATTCTTACCTCATTTTCCTTATTATTTTCGGACGATATTAAAATGTGTTAAACTGTAAATAATAATGATAAAAGGTTGGTGCTGGAGTCTGGAAATTAATTCCAAGAAAAGCACGGTAATGCACCTATGTCAGGAGTCTTATACGTCGTACTCCCTGGGGGACACAACCGTCAGATGTTAGGGGACAAAAGGACTTGGAAATTAATGTAAGTCATGACCTAAAAACAACTGCAAATTGTAATGGAGCCGCAGCTAAGGCTTTTCGAGTGCTATGGGCACTTCGAAGGGATTTCAAACGATTAGACAAGGATATGTTCCAAGTACTCTAAGCAAAATATGATACCGAAGGAGGAGAAGCGACTTAAATTTGACTTACCGTATATTAAAGGGTGATTTAGGGATTGACTTTCCAAACCTTTTCTCTCCCTCTAGTATACATTTACGAAGTCACCACAAGAAAGTGCTCAAACCGAGGTCGAATGAAATACGTGTGGAATTTAGGTTCCCTCATAGGGTGGTCAACGATTGGAACTCATACCTGATTCAGTAGTAGCAGCTTTCAAAGAGAAATTAGATCCCTGCAGAGATATATATATCGAAAAGATTAACACAGGCAACGAAAGCCTTTTATGCTTATAATTTGAATCTTTACAGTGAAGTTATTTTAATGTCTCGGCAATGACTTTAACTAGTTACAGCTATTCCTTGATGCAGAGGGAGACATAGACCTGCACAACATCTCAGCATTAAGCATTAGAGTGGGAATATTGAACTTGACATGAAGTATAATCCGACTAAGACCACAGCCTTAGTATAACCTCGCCGAACTTCAGACTCAATATTTATCCATATAATATTGTAAGGATAGGGAATCATATATGATTCCTTCACCAACCTTACATGCAGTAGCAATGCTAACTTTGCTCTTCATACGGAATTTGATACAATTTCGCCTTGAAAACAAACTAGCTGTGAATAGCTAGCGATGTCTATAGTCATATGGCTATCAGCGATGCATCGCTTACGACAAGTTAGACTTCTCAAGCGTAATTAATCTGTTCAAAAGAGAGTAACACGACGATGATCCCAATACAACATCTACTTGTGAGATATTTCATTCATTAATTGTGGAAGTCTTAGAACGAGAACAACTCCGCTCAAAAAAATAATGTCTGAAGACATTATTTCCGAGCATATCTACAAAATATGTCCGTTGTATTTGACAAATTAGTTCGTTGCGGCAAGAACAATGTAATGCATTTACTCACCACAAGATATGTTCCTCAGTAAGAAACTATAAATCTCAAAACATGTCTAAACTACAAAAAATTTTCAGCAACCGTACCGCTTCAATTCCTGAGAAGCGCGCACGTGCTTACTGGCAAACTCCAATGTTAGCTAGTGTAAACCAAATTGACTTCTTTGTACTCTCTTCTTGGTTGTAAGGTAAAGGTTCATGGTCTCCGGTAAACTTCTATGTGGTTTGTCCCGCCACTTGATTGTCATAACTTTGATTGACTCCTTCGGGTGGTGCTGGGATTCACAATGCGGTTTATTAGAAAGTGGTGTGTTAAGACCGTGTGCCTACTGTGACTGGGGTTGATCCTTTCACCGTTAATTTTCCGGTATGGTCAAAAAGAGGGATAATGGACGCAATTACTGTAGGTTGTGTAGACTTAAAAAGAAAACGTAAGAACAGATGGCTGGTGAGATTTGAAATATATATATATAAGGGAATTAACAGATGAAGTAAGGTGAGAGAGAGAGAATGTGAAGTAGTAGACAGACGAGTTTAGGTGTGAACCTATTAATAGTGTGTGAGCATTACTAGCTTGCTAGGCTACTAGTTTTCTAGCCGGTCCCAAGCCCGGATAAAGAGGGAGGGTTGGGGAGTGGGGCTAGCAACTCCACCCCCGTAAAACAACCAAATTGCTACCAAAACTTCAACGCGCAGATACATTGAAAATTCTAAAAATATAAACAATAGCCTTATTTTTCTTTGGAATTGGGGAAGTGAAATGACGCAGGCTGGTGAAAGCCTTCGGGAAGCCAGTCAGCCGATGTCCCTTCTTTCGATGAAGGCATAAGTAAGGATGGGTACCTGGAATGGTCGTACAATGTACGAAACTGGAAAGGCTGCCCAGATAGCCGCTGAAATGAGAAGGTACAGAATAGAAGTGTTGGGAATCTGCGAAAGCAGATGGAACGGAGCTGGAAGGTGCCAACTGCCAACTGGGGAGACAATAATCTATTCCGGCCACCCAGAGGACAATCCCTAGCACATCGAGGGAGTGGCCATCATGATGTCACCAGCGGCACCCAAAGCTCTCATTCAGTGGGAATCAATCTCCTCCAGGATAATGACAGCTAGGTTCAACTCAAAAGGAATGAAGGTTACGGTCACTCGATGCTATGCGCCTTCAAACGTCTCAGAACAAGAGAAGAAGGAGGCGTTCTACAGACAACTACAAGCAATAATGGACAACGTCCCGAATGGCGATATCAAAATCCTGATGGGCGACATGAATGCAAAGCTGGGAGGAGACAACACAGGAAGAGAACTCACCATGGGTCGAGAGGCCCTCGGTGAAATGAACAACAATGGTGAACTCTTCTCAGACTTCTGCGCCTTCAATGATTTGGTGATTGGCGGTAGTGTGTTCAAACACAAGGATATACACAAGGCGACATGGATTTCACCAGATGGAAACACCAAGAACCAAACAGACTTCATCTCAATTTCAAGAAAGTGGAGACGGAGCCTACTGGACACGAGGTCAAGGAGAGGAGCAGATGTGGGTTCAGACCATTATCTAGTACAAAGGACTTTCAAGGTGAAACTAAAAGCCTCGAGGATAGCTGGGGATAGGCCACAATGCAAGTTCAACACTCAGAAACTGAAGGACACAACCACAAAAGACACTTTCACTGCAAGTGTCAGAGCAAAGCAGAAAACACTACGCGACAGCACTGAACAATCATGCGTGGAAGACCACTGGAACTCTCTGAAGGCCATTTTCAAGGAAACGTGCTCAACGGTTCTAGGAAGAAAGAAGAGAAAAGACATGGAATGGCTCTCAACGGACACTTGGAAGCTAATAGAGGAGAGGAGAATGGTGAAAGTGAAAATGATTCAATGCAAGGACGGACGGGAGAAGGAGACGATGAGCTCAACGTACACAGCACTGTACAAAGAAGTGAAGAAGAGTGCTAGGAAGGACAAAAAACGATTCTACGACAACCTGGCCTCTGAAGCTGAGAAGGCAGCAGGCAAAAAGGACCTGAGGACACTATATCAGATAACCAAATCTTTATCCGGGAAGAGATCAACACAAGCGAAACCTATAAAAGACAGCCAAGGAAACCCAATCACCAAGGAAGAAAAACAGATTAAACAATGGGCGGACCACTTCAAAGGACTCTGAAACCGACCACCACCTGCAACCCGTCCAGAAATACCAACAACAACACGTGCGCAACTGCAGGTTGACACCGATCCTCCAACGAGAGCTGAAGTCTTGAATGCATTCAAGCTATTGAAAGCTGGCAAAAACAGCAGCTGGACCAGATGGAATACCCTCTGAAGCACTGAAAGCGGACCCAGAGACTACAGCAGACATGCTGACTCCATTATTGCAAAAGGTCTGGAAGGAGAGAAAGGTGCTTACTGACTGTAGGAAAAGTTACCTGGTGAAACTACGAAAGAAGGGACACGTAGGACTCTGCGAGAACTGGCGAGGAATCATGCTCCTGTCGACGCCAAATAAAATCCTAAGTCACATCATCCTGGAGAGAACAAAAGACTCACTGGATGCAAAACTCCGACCAGAACAAGCTGAATTCAGGAAAGGCAAATCATGTTCTGGCCAAACTGCAACTGCATGCATCATCATCATCATAGAACAAAGCATGCAATGGCAATCAAACCTCTACCTCAACTTTATAGACTTTGAGAAGGCCTTCGACAGGCAGCATTGACCGCGAAGTAATTGGTAAAGTACTCGAGTACTACGGCGTACCCGAAATATCGATCAACCTTATTCAACAGCTGTACGACAACGGAACATGTCAAGTTATCAACAACGGAAGACTTAGTGAGGCGTTTGGAGTAAACACAGGAGTCAGACGACAAGCGTGACTGCTTATTATCACCAATGATATTCATAATTGTGGTGGACTGACTGGATTATGCGTCAGACAGTGGGAAACGAGAAGACAGCGATATCCTGGACCGACGCGAAGAACCTAGAAGACCTGGATTTCGCGCGTGGATTATTTATGTTTGATGTCACACAAAATCGAAGACTTACAAGCGAAAACCGACCGACAAACTGGTGGAAGAAGCAGTCGGCGAAGACAGGACTCCAGGTGAACATAGACAAGACGGACGTTATGAAAATAACCAACCAACCAACAACGACAGCAGAAACATCCAGCGTCAATCACCACCAACGGGAGGGATTTGAAAGAGGTTACTTCATTCATTTACCTGGCATTGAGCATTGTCTCAAGTACAGGAAGTTGGAACGGACGAGGATGTCAAATGGAGCGAGAATCGGGAAGGCGAGAAACACACACGTTCATCAACATGAAATCGATCTTGAAATCTTCGTCACTCAGCATCAACAACAAAATTCGACCAGATTTTCAATACAAACGTAAAGTCAGTTCTTCTATACGGATCAGAAACTTGGAGGGTCACAAAGAGTATTTCCAAAAAGTTTCAGACCTTTATTAACAACTGTCTTCACTCTACACTGATCAGTTGGCCAGAAATAATCACCAACAAGAAATCATGGAAACAAACAAAGAAAACGAGAACCAATCGCCAACCAACAAATATGCAGGAGAAAGTTGAGATGGATTGGACACTCGCTGAGGAGACCGCTGGGTGACAACTCAGGTGAAAAATACAGCAGAAGACAGAAGTGGCAAGTGGAGACGTGGAGTTGAAGCCCTATGTTCCACTAGGAACCCAGGGGGGCAATAATAACAATAATAATAATTAAGGGGATAGGCCTCTAGGACACAGTCCATGTGTCGCTGCATGATTGTCGTCTCCGCTCAAAGCTCTTCACAAACGGCACAGTAGACGCATCTGCTGGTAGAGCGTTCCAGGGGCGGCAAACTCGAAGTGAAAAAAATGGGGGAGCACTCGAGTCTTTGCTCTCTGGAGAGCTACCTTTAGTGGATTGTCATGAGGAAGCTCATGGGTACTTAATAGCAGAATAATTTGTCTAGAAGATTCTGGTCATCCGTAACCATCTGTCACACCGAATCCTATGGTGGTGAAAACCCAAATTTCTTCGGTCGTTCATCGTGTAATTTATTCCTCAGATTCATAGCCAATTTTTTTGCCCGTCTTTTAACTCTTTATAAAAGATTGGTGTCCCTTCTGAGTCCCTTCCAATTCTGTTAAACTTTTGGCCGAGGGTAGAAGCCCTTACTACTATTATAATCCTCTTCTGGTAGTACCTGCGTTTGTTCAATCACCTTCAGAACGACTTTACTGTCAACACTAACTTCACGTTTTCTGGGAGCCAATTCCCCAAGTTAGTGACCCCGTGGTAGGACCAGCACTCCACAGCACTACAGGCCCTACTTGGTCTTGCACTCTTCTGCTGCATTCTTTTCTTTTATTGTGACCTAGGAAAAACGACAGGAGTAAATCAACTAATCTTATTGTTATTTCTTAGAATTTCAATTTCCGTGACTAGATCACTTTTACGCCTACGGTTTGGTAATAACAAGAGGTTCAGACTGTTAAGTCGTCTTTCGTATGACAGTGATAATGTGTTTTTACATAAACAGGCAAATTTGCATGAAGCGCAAGTCATTTTACAAACACGACCAAGAATGATAGGAATTAAAATCGTGAAATATCGATAAGTTAGCACTGTTTCAATAGTTTATGTGAATTATAACACAAGTGATCAGAAAGGGTTCACATAAATGTAAGATTGTATAGCCGTCATCAAGGCCGAGCGGCAACCCACACTTCGTTCCTTCTCCTGCACATGATTGTAATGAACTGATGAGCAGCCAGTATTCAGATAAGTGCTATGTCCATGTGTGACCTGGAGCTTTTGCAGGAACAGGCGCTCTGAGGGACTACAATGTGGAAAAATACCATTCAGGGTAGTATTTCATTGAAAATGCATTTACAGGGGATATATAAGAAGTTGTGCAGTGTGTAGAGTGATAAAGTACATTTACAACGTATGAAGCTAACCATAGCGGCCTTTTTGTCGAGACCATGAAGTTTTCAATGGTAGTCCCAGAGAAGTCCA